ACGGTATCCATTACAAAGACCTGTACCAGGGTGGAAATCCTGTCTGTGAGCATGGATGAGCCCACACATGGCGGGCAGGGAGGAAGCTCATTCAGTGAGTCCAGGGATTTGTTCAGGAGATGCCAGATGCTACGATTAGCATCTCACAGCTACTTTCATGCCCCCGACCCTCAGCTCTCTAAGAAGACTCACGGAACCTGCAAGCCAGGCGGCAAGGCATGCCCTGTCAGAAGATGAGTGCTTAAAAGAACTTGTCTGTGATGGAAGACATTGTGCTTTGAATGCACATGGGCCCCATTGGCTCCTAGGGGTGGTCTCATTGGAGGAAGTGTGACTCTGCACATTTAACTAGATGATACACAGGAAGGAACAGAACAGGAGGGTGATGTGGCTCATTTAGCAGAGGCCTTCCCTAGCCCCTCAGTGAAACATAAACTTGGCACTTGGGAGGTGGAGATAGGAAGACCGGAACTTCAAGGTCACCATCAGCTATGTGTGTGAGGCCAGCTTGGATTACATGAGACTCTATCTTAAAACAACAGCGAAATTTGCTAAGAGGGGACAGGGTTTAGAGAGAGGGTTCAGTGGTCAAGAGCACTGACTGCTCTTGCAAAGGACCCAAGTTCAGTTCCCAGCACCCACATGACAACTCACAACTAGTAACTATTTTCAGGGGGATCTGACGCCCTCTTCTGGCCTCCACAGTGACTGTGTGCACATGACGCACACACATGGCATGCAGACAAAATACCCATCCATAGAGAACACATTGTATGCACACATATGTACTTGCAAATATGAGTAAACGGGAAACACAGAGAAAGGCAAGTCCAGACGATGCTGACTATTTCCTGAGCTGAGTCTGATGAGCACAGCACTGTTAATGAGCACGTAGTGAACCTGGGATTTACACTGTGAATTCAGCAGCTTCCAGAGGACACCATCGTTGTCAGTGCGTCCATAGATTTAGTAAAGCCATGAGATGAGATTTTATTGTGAAGGTGGCTGCTTACTTGATGCTCCTCCCATCCAATTACACACACATGCACACACTCACATTTATACCTGGGTTCCATTCGACACACACACACACACACACACACACACACCAAAACATTTTCATCCAACTTAAAAAAAGAATTGGGTACATGTACCTTCTCAAGGCATAGTATCCAGGCAAGAAAAACTAACAATAATTTAAGGGGCAATGTGTAACCGAGCCCTCAAAAACACTCCCCTCCCCTATGCTTGCGACTCATGCCTGATGCCTGTCCTCCCTTTTTGGGAGGCAGTGCAGCACCGAGGGCTTTGGAACTCGTGTTTCTCTTAGGTGTTGTTGGCCATTAAAGTAAACTAGCCAAGGTGCCTTAGCTGATTAGTTTTCTGAACTGCCTGGAATGAACCAGGAGAAAATATCCCACATGTTTCTTCCTCAGCACGGGGACAATGTCATCTGTCGCTGGATGAGCCTGGGTTCTTAAGAGAAAGTTGAAAGGGGGCTCAGTCTGTGGCATCTGTATCTCTCAGTTTAGCCAGTGAGGGTTTAAGGAATCCAATTAACTTGTGATTTGGGCATTAAAGGAGGCCAGCCAATTCAATGCCTACCAAGTGTCTTAATTCCCACCCCAGGGGGGTCTCAGGTATCCCAGGATGGCCTCAGACTCACTATGTAACCAAGGATGACTTTGAACTTCCGATTCTCCTGCCTCCACCTCCCCAGTGTCAGAATCAAATCATTCCCAAAGGTGAGCCTCCTTCATTCTGCTTTCTACTGCTGTGATAAACACCACAACCAAAAGTAGTTTGGGGAGGAAGGGGCTTATTTCATCTGATGGGTTTCATACAGTCCAGCATCAAGAGGAGTCAAGACAGGAGCTCAAAGGAGTTTGAAACCATAGAGGAATGCTCTCTACAGACTTGCTCAGGGGCCCACGTTCTGCCGCTTTTCTTACACAGTTCAGGCCCACTGGCGTAGGAATATACACACAGGGCTGAGCCCACCTATATCTTTAGCAATAATTTTAAAAAATGGCCATAGACCTGCCCAAAGCCAATGTGAAGCAGTCAGTTCTTAGGTTGAGCATCCTCTTCTGGGTGTCAGATTCACAGCTGAAGCTAACTATGACACAGCCCACAGTTAAAATTAACCTCTGCACAGGGGACGGTAACAGCTGGGAGGTTTCAAGTTTTGATACTGTTGTCTTTATCTGCATCCTGCCTACACAGGGAGCCAAGCACCAGCCTGCACAGGGAGCCAAGCAGGCTGGGAAGTTTAGGCAGGATTGGCCATATTCTTAGGACCTCAGTTGACGGGGTGAGGGCCACCTAACAGAGGACCATCTGCTATCCTTGGAACTCACTGATCTGATGAGTAGCCAGACATGCGACCTGCCCATCGAGGTTCTATTCACGTGGACGGTAGAACTTGACTCATACAATTGGTTCCCACTCCGGTTTCTGTCTCCTCTACTCACCAATTAAGGAGTGAACTCCTGGCCATGAGATCAGCCAACAGCTCTTACCATTCTCTCATGATTAGCCATCTGCATGTTAGGATATTCCCTAGCTCAGAAGATGCCAGAGATTAAAGCAGGGATCGCCTGTTTCCCAGGGTGAAGGAATCTTCAATGAGAAATGCTTACTTGATTATATAACTACCTTTAAACAAATACAAGTCACTTTGTTCTTTTAAAAAAAAAGTTCAGCTTTGAAAATTAGGGACCAGAGACAGCACAGATCTCTTAAGAATGGGACGGCAAGGGCTGGAGAGATAGCTGCTCCTCAGAAGACCCAGGTGTAATTCCAAATACTCACTGGATGCTCACAAACATCTGTTAACTCCAGGGCCACAGGATCCAGTACCCTCTCCTGGCCTGCATGCAGTTACAAAGACAGACATGGAGCCAAACACACAGACACATAAAACAAAAATAAATGCTTATAGAAAAAATAATGGAAAATTGGAAATATTTTTTTTTCATTGCATTTAAAAAAGCCCCTGGTAACCATGACTTTGGGGGAAAATAGCCACAGGTTTCCTAGGAGGAGCTGGAAAGCCACGCAGATACTTCATGGATCAGCATCTACACCTACCTGATCATGAGGTTCCCAACTTCAGGACGTGAATTTGCCTCCTGTCGACATTCCAAAGGAAGTCAGGCTGTGTAATACGCATGTTATCAAGACAGGAAGGCTTGGTCACGTGTCTTATGTGGGATCAGACCCTTGATGAGGAGAATATGCTTAAGATCATGTTAAATCAGCCTTGTAGAAAAATCATCACAAAAGCTGGAAACCCCTTCCTTACTATCTGTACTTCTCATGTCAACAGAGACATGTCCGACCCTGAAGGAGACATTGTCTCATCCATCTGTCACAGCGGTGCCTGCAATGTGTGTCCCCTCCCTCAGCAATGACATGTCTCCCGAGTCATTCCTGGGGAAGAGCAGCATTGACACTGTCAGAAGGGGAAGGACTTTCCTGATTCCATGTGTTGTTTCTTTCTCCCTTTTTCTTGTCCCTCGATGCTGGAGGATCAGACCCATGGCCTTGGGCTTTCTAGTCAAGTATTCTGCTGCTAGGCTTTGACCCCAACACTTACATCTAATTCCCTGTTAACGATATTAGCATGGACCGAGATTTTCAAAGGTTAACAATGTGTGCAGGTCTTAACACAAGATTCTCTTAAGTTCAATTTATGGCAATTCTTAAAAAAAAAAAAAACACCTTTAGTTTTTGTTACACTTACATTAATTTGAATAAACCACCAAAGAACATATGTGGGGCTGGAGGCATAGCTCAGTGGTTAAGAGCACTGGCTGCTCTTCCAGAGGACCTATGTTGAATTCCCAGCACCCACATGGCATCTCACACCTGTGAAATTCTAGTCCTAAGAGTTCCAACATCCTTCTCCAGCCATGGGGATCTGGCACATATATGTGCACAGACAGACATGAAATCAGGAAAAAAAAATCTATACACATAATTGTAAAAATGCATATATAATAAATATATTTATGGATTTGGCTTTATTCTCTCAAAGGCAAGTGCATTTGAAGGCAAGTTGATCAAGAACTAATATAGTTACAAGGTCTTTTTTATGCTATTGGGCCTTGACCATGTATCTTTGTAAAGTATTTTGTACTCTGAAGGTAACTAGCCACATGCTGGAGCATCATTTGTCAGAGAGGTGAACTCATTACGGCAGAAAACAGAAGACCAGTTTTAGTAACTTTGCTCACAGCTAAATACCTCACAAAAGCAAGTAGAGAAAAGGGGGCTGATTTTGACTCAGTCTGAAGAGATGTGCTCTTCATGGCAGGAAGGTTTCATGGCCAGATGGATGGCTGCGTGCAGCCCCGTGATGAGAAGTCCAGGCTGCTTGTTCACAGCCTGGTAGGTCGGTGAGCAGACACAGGAATGCCGTCGCTCAACAGGTTCCTTTCCCTTTCGAGGCCCACATCCCAGCCCATTAGGTCTCGTCATCCAAACTCAGGGAGGTCCGTCTCCCTTCAGATGACAGTTTGAGATTGGCTATCACATCGATCGTCTTTCTGTGCCACACTGAAAGGCAGGGACAAAACACTGTAGCCAGGGGAGATGGTTTGTTTGCTTGATTTACTCATGTGCTGTGTTAAGGGATGGTTGGGAGCATTCTATGGCAGGCACACAGAGGTCAAAGGAAAACCTGTAGAAGTCAGTTCTTTCCTTCAACCAGGTCAGTCCTGGGACTGAATTTATGTCATCAGGCTGGGTGGCCAGGACTTTCCTTCCTGTGCCATTTCACCAGCCCAGGGTGGTTCTTAAATGCCCCTTTTATTTCTTGCTCAAACATTTGGGATGGTCGTGTGGTTTCAGGTATCTGGTGCCCTCAGTCCTTACGCTTGGTGCTGCCGTGGCTCAAACATGCCCACTCCATTTACTGCAGCTACTGCCCAAACCTTGGGACATACTATAACTTCACACATGCAAGCTTGACGGTTTCACGACACGAGACAGTGTGCTTTTCAGTTGTTTTATTGACAGCAGCAAAGTGTGCATAATCACAGATCTGAAGAGCCTGCCAACAATGAAGAATTTATCTGTTGCAGAATACAACCACCTCGGGTCCTTAACACAAACATAGAGCGCTGCACTCAACATGGCTGTGGCCCAAGGCCACCTCTGAGTGCATAACTGTGCTTCTATAAACCCTTCACCCAGTGTCCGCATGTCACCACCTTTGCACTACCATCCCTTTAAGTCCCTTCAAGACCTTCTGACCATGTTCCCTGAAAGCCAAGCCTTGCTCACAATGCCTCTTTCTGTCTGCTTAAGAAAGATGTGGCCCCTGTGCTGACGCTGTTCCCTCCCATAATCTCTGATGTCAAAGCTTGTGGTACTCATTTGCTCTCCGCACCAACATCACCAGGCGAGGTAGCAAAGGAGCACAAATCCTGGGCCTGTGTAACTCAGGCTTCCTGTGTGTAGCTATGGCTGCCCAGATATCTGTGGGAGCACATCTGGACACCACTGTCTATTTAGACTCAGGCTCCTGACTCTGAACGCAAAGGCTAAAGAGCAGACACGACTCTCTCCTGGATAAACCGGGAAATGAAAGACCTTTCCACTCACAGTCCCTAAACAAGGGAAACACTGTCTGGAATTATTCTGTTACCCAGCCAGGTGGCACATCAATGCTCACCCAAGAGAATGGCACAAAAGGTGGATGAAGATCAAAACCCAGAGTGTCTTCCTACCTACCCTTCTGTTTGGCATTTAACACTCAAAGTACAGCATTGTCATTTCCATGTGGTTGGCACTTTATCATGAATTCTGTCCAGGGCAATCACTTCAGTTCCAATATAACCTTAAAATGTAACATCATTCTCCCAACCGACCATGATGCAGGAGTCAGTGGACAAGAAAGACAGTGTGAGGTGATGCTGCAGCGTGCTTCCAGAATCGGGCATGGCTTCCGAAAGTGGTCCAGCATGGAGACAGGAAGCACGCTTCAGTGTTTGTTTTTATAGTAAATACGTACCGAACACCTATCGTGTGCTGGGCTTTGAGGATACAACCATCTAGAAGGCATAGGGCCCCTAGTCCATAGCAGCATGGTGAGCAGGCAGTTCTAATACTATACAAAAGGCAGTGGGGGCAATGAGCTTGAGCCTCAGAGACCCTCCAGGTGAAACTGCGGCAGACCCTGATACCAGGGAGGGACAGTTCCTCCTTAGCTTGGACTTAAGGACCTACAAAAGCACGGAGGGAAGAAATCCAGGTGACTGCATTTTTGACTCAAAGACAAAAAACAAATCAAGACATGACCATGCCCAGCCGTCACCCGGCTTCAGAAGGCGGAGGCAAGAGGACGGTGTTGAGTCTGAGATCAGCTTGGGCAGACATCAGGGAGTACCAGGCCAGCCAGGGCTACCTAGAGAGTTCAACTCCCAACCAAAACCCAAAAAAACCTCACTGGCAACAATAACAAAAAGCCCTGCTGAGTGTTCCCAAGGCTACCCATGAGCCACAGGGACACCACCTATGAAATGTCCTCAGCCATCCTTCTGCACATACAGACGTCTCAGTGGTTGGGGGAACGCTACCTTCTGCTAACGAACATTTGGATCTTGTGCAGGACAAAGGGAGGCATCGATATCTTCTCAGAGAAAGCTCCAGTAGAGAAAACGACAGTAACCAGTCGCTACCGCGTTTACGGGTGATATCTGGTACCGACAATTTCTGTGGCTCGAGGAAAAACCTTAACTTGGTAACACACAAACACTGCATCTCTAACATAGAAAACTAAACAGGCGGTCACGGTTCGGGGCAGAGGTCTGTCTTCTGTGGCACACCATCGACCCACTGAGATTTTCCATCAGGGTAACACGATTGTCCAGTCACTCTCCTCCCTTCCGTACTACAACAAAAACAAAAACACATGTTTTAGTGTAAAACCAAGACTTGAGCAAACCCGAGCAGTCACAACTGTCCAATGGGCTCGATTACTACACCGCAGAGGGCTTGGCTGTTCAAAGCACAGACGGACCTTCTAGAGGACCTGGGTGTCCGCACACAAACGTCTGATTCCAGTTCCATGGATCCAAGGCCCTCTCTGGCCTCCATACACTTTCAACCCCTTCAGCATACCCATATACACGTAACTAAAAACAAAAATCAGTCTACAAAAAAAATCAGTAAATCAGGGGTGACAACACATGCTTGCAATCCCAGCCCTTGGGCGATGAAGGCAGGAGGATCTACAGGCGTTTAAGGCTAGCCTGGGCTATATGAGACCCTACCTCGATCAATAAAATGAAAATGGCCTTATTGTGAACCTGTAGCTGCCTTTTCCCATCCCATGAACCAAGAGCTCATTGTTCATACTGCTTTCCCTGATCATGAGGCCCAGGCTCCAGCTGCCCTGGGGCAGGTATAGCCGTGTCAGTATCCATCCAGACAGGAAAACATGCTTTGGAAGGGGAGTCTGACACTTCCAGTGATGTGAAGTCAGTTGGGTCTCCTTCAGCGGCCCTCATTCGAAGGCCTTTCTCCAGGGTGACGCTACTGAAAGACAGCAGAACTTTAGGGTGTGTGGCTTGGTCACCTGCCACCTGCCAACCTCAGAGACCAGATCAATATTGATTCTCTAAAACTGTGAGCTGGACAAGCCTTTCCTTGTAAATCCCTAGCCTTGAGTGTTTCACTACAAAGGTCACCAATGCCACATGGTTTAAGACACTTTTCCTATCTTTTCTTAGAATATGTAAATACTTAGGAACACCACAAGATTTGTTTTAAAGAAACTTATCCTAGCACTCGGGAGGCAGAGGCAGGTGGATCTCTGTGAGTTCGAGACCAGCCTGGTCTACAGAGCTAGTTCCAGGACAGGCTCCAAAGCCACAGAGAAACCCTGTCTCGAAAAACCAAAAAAAAAAAAAAAAGAAAAAAAGAAATTTATCTCAGCTTCTTGTTCCTTTCAGTGAAGAAACATTACTGTCTGTATTCTCTACCCTAGACCCCGAGATAAACTCCAGGTGACATAAAGAGAAGGAAAAACCTCCAGCATTAAAACAGCTGGAGGAGGGGACAAACGTGACTGATTATAAAGAAACATCAGGGTCTTAGGTGGCTCAGGAGGTATTTAAAAGGTTCCCACAGAGGTTCAGGGCTAGCCTGGTCTACACCGTGAGACCCTGTCTCAAAAGCAAACCCAGTGATACAGAGTCCCACAAGGGATGGATGCTGAAGGACAGACATGACCCTGTAAACCAAACCGTAGGAGGTTCAGCAGAGGCAGGCAGCATCACGGGACACAGAGCATCTGGAGAACAGAGCTGACCTAAAGACTGGGTGCTGCTGTGGCTTGGTGGGCAGAAACAGAAGAGCAGGCAGCAGCGTTGCCCATGCTTACCTCGGCTTCTGCTAAAAAAAAAAAAAAAAAAAAAAAAAAAAAAACAGGAGTGCTTTTCCTTGTTGGTTATAAATAGAAAGAAGGGGGGGGGGGGGGACAGAATAACCTTGTATTGAACTCTCGCCTGCAACAGGTGTGTATAGTAACCTAGCACCCTGGACAGTGTGGGTTATTGGCCCCATTGGACAAGCACTTACTTAGCCTAGCACTAAAAGTCTAAACGTCAAGTCAGATCCGAGGTTTCAGAGATTTCCCCCTGGGTCATACTGGCAAGAGCCTCAGTTTCTCTTTCCCTTGCGTTGCTGGTTATTACCCTTGTCTTCAAAATCTGTGGGACACTTTGTAGGGAAACATCATGTTTCCATGTAACACCCAAAGAGATCAAATCTCAAACATGATGTAACATCCTTCTTTTCTTGCTCCCTCAGTAATTGCCAAAATTGTTGTTCTTGGAAACAGGCTAGCTAGTCCCTTGGCGATCAGAACCAATTTGCCCTCTTGTAAGGGAATAATTTGGAGACTTGAGGACACAAGCACAAAATAATTGAGGGGAAAAAAGATGTGGTTTTGATTGCTGGTGGTTGGCCCTGGTGCTTACAAACGCTGGGAAATGTACGGTGCTCGTACGGGGTGAGTGGCGCTGAGGCACTTCCTGATCCCCTGTGCCTGTGCTTACAACCTCTTTGTCTCTCTGTTCTGTATGAGTTCCAAGTGAATTGTCGGCCTTTCGTGTGTTTTTAAAGGCTGGCTGTCTCGTAGCCTAGGCTGGCCTCAAACTTGCAACGTATCTGACGGCCACGAACTTCTGATCCTCCCACCTCCAACCCCCATGTGTTGAACTGTAGGCATGCACACGAAACCCACTGGCTGTAGGCATCACAACCCAGGGTGCCATGCGTGTTAGAAAGCCCGCTGCCAGGCAAGCTACATCCCCAGCCCATGTTAGAGTCAATGCCACCGTCGCTAAAGAACATGAAAGTCAAGAGAGAAAAGGTCTGGTTTTCTCAAATGTTCTACCATGCATGTCCTTTATTATATGTGTGTGTGTTATGCATTTCTGTATGTATATAGATACATGTGTCTGTGGATGTACACGTGTGCACATGCATGGAAAATCCCAAGGCCGACATTCTTCTACCTTATTCTTAGAGGTAGGGTCTCTCAGTCAAATCCAGAGCTCACGGATATGGTAGTCTCACTAACCACTTAGTTATTCACTTAGTAATTCAGAAGCTGGAATTCCCAGCTGGGTTGCTGTGTCCATCCAGTATTTATATAGGATTCTGGGGACCTGAGTACAATGGACAGTGAGCATTTTAATTCACCCACCCCCTATATGAATCTTTTCTATTTCAACTTTTTTTTTTTTAAAGACAGGACCTGAACTCCCTATGTGGAGCAGGCTGGCCTTGAAGTCAGAGATCCCCTTGCCCATACTTCCCAAGTACTGGTATTAAAGGGGTGTGCCACCTCACCAAGCTTCTTATGATTATGAGCCCCAAGGTGGGTTTGCTTGCAATATTTTCTTTACTTTTATTTTATGTATCTTAATGTTTTTGCTACATGTGCATATGTGCACCATATGCACAGAGTACCTCAGGCATGCAGAAGAGGGCATCAGATTTCTTGGAACTAGGGCTGTGAGCCCACTTGTGGGTTCTGGAGAATGAACTCAGGTCCTCTTCAAGAGCAGTAATATTCTTAACCTCTGAGCCATCTCCTAGCTGATCCCCAACCCCAGCTGGTCAAAACGTCTACCTGGATATCGGTCAACTTTTCCAAGATGCGGCTTGCAAGCTTGGGCCCATTCTCCATTGTTGGGATGTGCAGCATCTGCAGAAGAAGGGAGAGAGCGCTCTGAGAGTGGGCAGCACACATGGCATTCCTGTGACATGATGGCAACTCCGCTAGGCCCAGAGAGGCACCCCAGCATACCTACCACACACGCTACCTCCTACACCTGAGTTATCTCTGCTCAGAATTTGAAAAAAAAGTCAGCCAGTGACAGCGTGTTCGTTTCCTACCAACTCAATCGAGCACACAAAAGGTTTGAGTGCCATTCTTCGGACAGTCTAAGGGATTCGGGAGACTAGAAGAGGTCCCTGAAACAGTAGAGGAACTCAGGATTCTAAGAATTCATAGGATGAATAATTGCCCTCTATTGAACCCTCTGCCAACAATCCAGATCTCAAAGATATTTTGCAACAAACCAAAGCAAGTCATTTCAAAGGGATAAATTAAAGCAAGTCTCATCCCCATTCACAAAAGGGTTTCTGAACCTGCATCTAGGGCAAGGTGTACCTCCAAGGGCTGTAACTCCCATGGGAAGGCAGGCTAAATTCATAGCTGAAAGAGATTTCGTGCCCGTAGTGTGTATCTGAGTCCTGCCCGTTCATGTCTTGCTGGCAGGCTGGCTTTTGATGCTTTGATTTTAGTAGATAGCTCATATTCTCAAACACTCTTCTTATTATGCCTTTTTAGTGTAATAGGATAATTACAAGCCCTTTGGGTTCTGAATGCCTCCCAGAAGCATTTAGGAGAAGCATTAAAAATAAGTTAACCTTTGTAAACTTTTATTTCTAGAGTGGAGTAACAAGTGGATTTTAGTTACCAAAACGGACCAATATCACACATAGACACTGCCAAAAAATACTCAAACTAGCTTCCTGCAATCTCTTCTTTCCCTCTTTGTTTTTCTAGATCCCTCTCTGGCATGCATGCCTCCCTCCCATCTTTCTGCCACATGGATATAAAACCAGGTAGTTCTTCCACAGTGAAATAATCTTTACATGAAACTGTATCAGCAACCACCCCTGGAAAGCAAACACTGAAATGTCAAGCAAAACATCATCATCATCATCATCATTGTAAACCCAATCAGCTGAGGTTGAAGTCAGGGGAATTTACATTTAACAAGTCATTTGAAGCAGTTAGTCTTATAGGAATAACAAGCACACAACTACAGAATAATGCCTACAGTTACAGACTGCCCATACACATATAGAGTAACATTTACACATTTATAGAATGCCTGTAAAAATAATTCCTATCTTTACACTCTAAAAGTAGAGGCTGATCTGGGCAGTGGTGGCACACGCCTTTAATCCTAGCACTTGAGAGGCACAGGCAGGCAGATTTCTGTGAGTTCAAGGCCAGCCTAGTCTACAAAGTTAGTTCTCGGGTGGCCAGAGCTGTTACACAGAAATTCTATCTCAAAAAAAGACAGGCTGAATGACATGCATGAGGACTGGCTTTGCTATAATGGAGAAAGGCCTCCAACCGGCAAGATAACGCATACATGGCACAAGAAAGATGGGTAAGAGGGCTGCATGGTTAAGAGCACAGGCTGCTCTTCCAGAAGACCCCAATTTGATTCCCAGCACCCACAGAGTGACTTACAACCACCTGTGGCGGCAGTTTCAGGGGCTCCAGCACCCTCTTCTGGCATCCGTGGCATTGTGTGTACACAGTGCCCAGACAGACATGCATACAAAATAGCTGTACACGTGAAATAAAATAAATCTGTTCTTTATAAAAGGGACAAGTGTAGGAAAGAGGTAATCCTCGAATTGCTGCAGAGGTCTGAGTCCAACAACAGTGACGGCAGCAGAGGAAAGAGCGGGCAGTTCTCATGTGCTTTTCGTGCCTATTGTTGCTCCGCTCCTACGGCAGCAACTTGACTTTCCCTCGGAAGCTGGAACACTGAGCTTCCTGCTATGCAGCCTGCCTCAGCAGGCAGACAGAGCAAGGCAGCTGTGTTAAGTCTTTCCCCACAGCTCCACACTTGCCAAGGACACGGCTGACTCGCTATTCACGTCTGAGCCTTCACTAAACCGCCGGGAAGATGGAAGATCTGTGCCAACACAGGCCCAACCTGCTCAAATTTCCCTCACACATTTTATGACTTCATTACATGACAGGTAAGTGTTTATGTATTTCATAATTCCATTCATTTATTTGCTTACTGACTGAGATCATCGGGCAGAGTGCGGTGCTGTCAAACACATGAGAAGCTTCAAGAGTTGGCTTCTTTCCTTCCGTTATGTGGATCCCAGGGACCGAAACTCAAGTTTTCAGCCTGGATGAAAGATATCTCCACCACTGGGCCATCTCGCCAACCCCAGGGCAAAAGCTGACTTTAGAAATGACTAACATATAGAACCTTTTGTCTTACCTGGCCTTTGTACAGAACTCCTGAGACTGGACAGACAATGCCGGCCGTCCCTGAGCCGAACATCTCCTTCACTCTGTTCCCCTCCAGGGCGGTGGTCAGGTCATCCATGGTGAGGTACCTCTCACACACCTTAAACTCACCCTGTGTAGAACAGCAAAAAATAAACAAAGAAGAGAAAGAGAAAAGTCAGTGCTTACCTTTGGGTCTGGCTGAACTTCCAAATGAAGTCACTAAGATGCTCCCAGCGCATTCGTGGCGTGTTCTCACACATGCCTGGTTCAAGACCCACATGCTGTCATGGATTAGGTCTCCCACTTAATACATTCTCCATGTCTTTGATAATAAAGGAGAAAAATTGGTGGCATCACACATCAGTACTGGGGGAGCTGCCAGGCTCTGAAGGCGTCGTCACCTCCTCTACGTCAGAGGGAGGACACTTGGCTTCCAGAAGGTTGAGGGGCTTCCTTAAGACCAAACAGCTAGGTTGGGCAGTAGTGATACACGCCATTAATCCCAGCACTCGGGAGGCAGAGGCAGGCGGATCTCTATAAGTTCGAGGCCAGCCTGGTCTACAAGAGTTAGTTCCAGGACAGGCTCCAAAGCTACAGAGAAACCCTGTCTCGAAAAACCAAAAAAGACCAAACAGCTAGTAAACAGAGGACTAGATCTGAACTAAGCCTGATCTGATTGCTTTTGAAACTGGTAAGAATCATAACTAAGCTGATATAACTGAAATAGTCACTGTTAGGAGCCAATATTTTGATTTTATGAGAATTAAACCTAGCAGTGTTGTGATTTTGTACAAAATTAAATTGCTAAACAATTTGTGTTCCAGAAACCAGCAAACATTACTGACAACAATTAAGGTCTGTGTTCTAAAGAGAAAAAAAAAAAAACGGAAAACAAAATAACCCATCTTGCAAGTCAACAGAATCATGTTCACTGGGCTCATCTTTATCTCTGGACTAGCTCCCTGGCAAGTCGCGGTGACCCCGAGAGCCTCTTGGCACTCTGTCTGTTTCAAGAAAGCTTTAAAATAAACTGCAGCTAAGAAGTCAAAAAAGACCCTTCCATAATAACCTGTTTTCCAAGCTTGGGAACGGGAGGTGTGGAACACACGCAGGCTCACACCCTGTCATCAGGTCTTGCGTACTTGGTCGATTTGTTCTCCTAATAAAACAAATTACTGAGCTCCGAAAAGCCATCACTCCAAGTGCAGACACATTTGGGACAGGGCAAGCTGTTGTAAATGAAACCAACGGTTTGCAAATGCCATGTCCGATGTGGCAGCCGACAGGCGGCAGTTGGTTCTGTCCACTCTGTACAGGGTAGGATTGTTTAGCCATTTCCTCTCCTTTCAGTCTTTTCCAGAGAAACCGCTGGTCCGCTCTGAGATAATGTGTGTGTCTAAACATTTGTCTGCGAGGACTGTCTGGCCACAGTGTGCTCAAAGCCTTCCCGTGGTCTCTGGGGACCTTTAGAACATGTGGGTCACAAGCACCAGCCAAGACCCACGCCAGCCTGCCAGCCCACTCCACATCCACCTCACAAATGCTGCGTCACTTCAAATAACACACGCTTCAATACTCCTGCCTCTTATGCATGGATTGGAAAGTTTGTTGAAAACAACTTTATATTTGCTTTAAGTGTTTTTAATTTCAAAATAAGCATGTGTAAGATAATGGGGGGATAGTAGAAGGAGAAAAATAGACAAATCAACATTTTGCTGATATGAATACATCAATGAAAACCTGTAGCTCCTATAATGGTCAGGGACACACTGGGATAAATATGTCACGAGTTGAAGTTAAGGGCTGCGTGGAAACACCCGGCGTGGCGCAGGTAAGTTAGTAGCAGAAGTCACCCTGTATGCACTGAGCCTACTCAGAAGCCCTGCTCACCAAAACAGCCTGTTCAGCTGGCTCTCTGTGTGCCCTACTAGAGAATACTTACTGGCTGTTTTTGCCAACACAGACCTAGAGAGATCTCTGGCTCGAGGGAAGATTTGAAGATTAGATACTATTGGTGGGAACCACAGGATCTGATATCACTTTTGATGAGTCTCTGCTGGACTTGGAAGCTGGGACCAAGGGCACTCACCCACTGCTGCGCCAGCTGGATGATGCTCTGCCTCGTCACACCCGGGAGAATGATGCCATCTAGTGGAGGCGTCGCCAGCTCTTCTTCTGTTAATTAGAAACAGGAGTGTTTGCAAAATCTCATTAGACATGTCACCGCGATGGCCATTGTTAGGAACATTTCCCACGATCAGACCAATAATCAACATGCAGGTAGTTAACTCCACTCTCCTGCATAAGTGGGCTCTCAAAGCTCTACTCGGTTTTCAGCCAGGTACTAATTTTAATACAAGAACCAGAGAGACAGCTCAGTGGGTTAAGAGCAGGTATTGCTCTTGCAAGGACAAGAGTTCTGCTCCCCCCAGTACCCACATAAGAGACCTGTAACTCAGTTTCAAGGGAACTCGTCCTCTCTCCCGGAACCCATGGGCACTGCACTTGTGGGCACGTTTCTTCACGCAGATCCACACACATACACATAATTAAGAACAACACAAATTTTCTTAAATGAGCAAAACCAAAAAGGGACCAGCAAGATGGCTCAGTGGATAAAGGTAGGTTCCAAGTCTGGCGCCCTGAGTTCAACCTCCCAGAAATCTTGTGGTTGAGAGAACCGATTCCCACAGGGTGTCCCCTGACCACCACACATGTGCACAGTGTACATGCTATTTGTTTTACACAACATAAAAGAATGCAATACAACTTTTGTAAAAGGAAGATTTTTTTTTTTTTTTTGACGCAGAAAGGTAGCTCCTTATCTAGTCATCTTCCATGCATCCTTCAGCTGTGGAACAATGAACTGCTTCGAGGGTAAGAGATTCAGGCTGGTGACTGCTCAGCCCTTAGGAGCACTGGCTGCTCTTGCAGAGGACCCAACTAGGGCACCTAACAACTCTCTGTGACTCTAGTTCTGAGGATCCCAACACCCTCTTCTGGCTGCCAAGGGCTCCTGCACACATGTAAAGCACATGCAGTTTCTAAAGAATGCACACATGCACACGCACACACACAAATAATAATAAATAAAGTCTATTCTCGGAAGTGAGAATTAAAGAATGCTCTTCACAATAAACGTCTAGATCAGAATGATTACTTAGGGAATAAAAGCTGGTAGGCACTTAGAGCAGCAAACATAAAATCGTGCGTAGGACCCACGCCAGTGCCATAGCCAGCAACCCTGTGCCTCAGAACCAGGTAGTCTGGGCAGGGAAGCCCGAGTCAGGGCCTGAGTTCAGATCCCAGCACCCATGTAAAAGCTGAACGGGGTGGCTCATATCGGTGCTGCAGAGGCAAGGATGGGTTGTCAAATCAGTAGCCTTAGGCTCACCTTGTACCTCAAAACATAAGGTGGAAAACACCCTACTTCAATCCTGACCACTTAAGTCCCGGGAACTGTGGAAGGGCAGTACTCTGAGCCCCTGGGGCATGCCCCAAGCCCCTATAATATTTATTTTTTAATGTTACAAAATGAATGAATGAATCGTCTTTGCTAGGCTGCCGCAGTTTGATTTGGAGAGATTATTTCTGAAAATTGCGTTTTAGAAAGAAGAAATTGGCTCTGGCAACGTTCCGGAGGCTACTTGTCATTTTAGAAGTGTTAATTATCTCAAAATAAACGCGTTTTGCGATAGCTCGTTAGCTAGACACAGAAGTGTGTGCGTCTGTATGTGTGTGTGTGTGTGTGTGTGCAGTTTTCACACACACACAGACCCTTCCTACAGTTAGCTCAACTCTAAGACAACACCGAGTTAAACACAAACAGCAGCCTCCAAGTGTGCAAAGACTGTTGTGGGAAACGGATTTAGCATCCAACTGTAACCACCAGCCTGAGGTCACGGAACAGAACATCTGTTCCACTGGTCCCCAGACAGAGCCGATGACATGCCGACATTTGGGTGAGAAGCAGTCATTTTCCCCTGCCACCCAAACACTCGCCGGAGCCAGCGCCGGGGGAAACAGAACCCTACAGATGCAGCCTGTTACTCAGAGAATGCCGGGGGCTGGTTATCGCCCTGAGTTCTGTGAGCCACTGTTTTCTCTCCTCCTCACCCTCCCAGGAGAGACACGCGAGGATGTGTTAGAGAGTGTCGGATCACAGCTGAGATAGAGATAGGTCTAAAAATGTGCTCCTAAATTACACATACCAATCAAAATCCTAATGGTCAATGTAGATCTAATTTGTTCCTTGCCCTGGGTCATTTAACTCAACATCATATTGTAGAAGATGATGCTCTTCTACACTGTAAAGATTTGTCACTTGTATTGGTTTAATAAAACACTGATTGGTTTATTGGAAGTATGGGTGGGGCAACCAGAATAGGAGAATTCTTGGAAGAGAAAAGATACCAGGCTATGTGGCTAAATATAGATAAGAATTATGAGTTAATTTAAGTTGTAAGAGCTAGTTAGTAATTAGCCTGAGCAAATGGGTCAGTTTATAATTAATATAGTTTATAATTAATATAAACTCCATGTGTTTATTTGGATAGTTTATAATTAATATAAGCCTCCATGTGTTTTTTTGGCACTGAAGGGCTGTGGGACCGGGTGGGATAGAAACTCCCTTCTCCACCACATAAAGTGTCACCATTTCACTGAACCCGTATCAACGGCAGACCCTGAGCATTCAGGATGCTGGAGACAGCCCTGAATTTTAAGCCACATATAGGGGATCATGCTTATAATTACAGCATTCTACAGCCTGAGACGGGAGGAATCCTGTAAGTTTGGGGTTGGCACAGACTACAGATGGGACCCTACCTCAAAAACAAAACAAAACAAAAAAACCCACAAAACCTCAAGCCAGGTATGCTATAATTCCACACACATAGGAAGTAGAGAATGAGGGATCAGCCATGACTGTATAGTGAGTTCAAGATCTTAAAAAACTAAAAGAACAGAATCTCTGTGATTTACATACAGCGGCCAGCAGGAGTCAATGAACATGTATGGCAAGGTCGGGATATACACTGTGCATTTTGCATGGGAATGTGCAGATACACATGTGCCAGGGCATCCAGGTGGATGTACCAGGACAACTAAGGGGGTCGGTTCTCTTTTTCCACCTTATGGGTATCAAGTGTTGAACTCAGTCTTGGTGGCAAGCATTCCCAACCACTGAGTCTCCTTGCAGCCCTAAGAGTGTAGTTAATCAAATGGGAAAAAAAGAAAGTCTATAGGACTTCTGAGATGTTATCAAAATGTGTAGCAACGACACCAATTCTGAAGAGAAGTCTAGTGAGAGAGAGGTATGGGGCAGAAGTGGAGCCCTGACAATGGGCAGAAGGGTCCTGACTTATGCCTTCAGCATCACAAAGTCAAACAAAAGTCAAAGGGGCATCCCAGCCAAGTCTAGTGAAGCATGACTGTATCCTCACAAAGTTGGAAGCTCAGGTAAGATAGCAAGTTCAAGGCCACTGTGAGGTGCACAGTGAGTTCAAGCCACTCCAGGCAAACTACAGAGAGCCTCAAAATAAACAGTAAAATGGGGGCCACAAGTGTAACTCTAAAAGGAGCTTGCCTAGCATGTAGCATTGTACTAATCCCCCTCCCCCCATAGCCAATAGATGGTTACTAGCACATATCACTTGGTACAGATTGAACAACCACTGAACTAACCAAGACTCAGCACTAGCGACAGTGTTGTGACACTGTATGTATCTTGTCTGTATGTCTGTGTGTTGCATGTGTGCAGCGCCGATGGAAGCAGGAAGAGTGCATTGGATTCCCTGACGCTGCGTATTAACAGTTGTGACCACCACGTGGTTGCTCAGAACAGAACAGAGGTCCCCTAGTGTGCCGAGCCATCTCTCCATCAGCTGAGGTTTAAGCCACAGGCTCAACCCAAACAACAGAAACAAGAATATAAAACCAAGTCGGATGGCAGCTCCATAGCAGCCTCTGGACCCAAACAACAGAAACAAGAATATAAAACCAAGTCGGATGGCAGCTCCATAGCAGCCTCTGGACCCTTGTCGTTGTCAGCGGTCAGTCATATCACCAGAAAAGCAATTACCTCCATCTTCGTTTATCCAGTAGAGGAACAGATTCATGGTGCCCACTTCGGTTATCTGGTCGTCCTTGCCATACAGCCAGAGGACCTGCTGACAACCATTCTCCGCTGCTTCACACTGCGCCAGAAGGGATGCACCGTAATTGCTGATGGGGAGAAGAAAACCTGCTGGTCATGAACATGTGTCACCCACTCTACAGTCTCAAGATCCCATTCATGAGAGAGAGAGAGAGAGAGAGAGAGAGAGAGAGAGAGAGAGAGCGCAACATGCCTCCAGGGTACATGTATGGAGGTCAGACGACAAATCATGGGAGTTGGTTCACTCTTACCACCCTCCCCCGTGGCCCCCCCTGCTGTGAGATCTGATAATGCCTGCTAAGGCAATGAGTCACTGTGCCCACCCTTAATCACAAAGACACACACACAAAGACAGACAGACGGACAGATAAGAACACATGCAAACACAAGCATGCTCACACGAGATATCACTTTAATACATTATTCTATCTTTAGAACATTAAAGAAAGCGCACTAGAGACTCTAACACCAAAGAAATCTATGTCCACAGGCCCATGCAGGACCATCACAACTGAATGGAATCAGGAGAATCACATGCATGCCCCCAAACAGCCTGGTGCTAAGAAACACTAGGCACCTTCTGGAAAGATGAAGCTAGAACCACAGAACAACAACATAGGGCTAGAGGCATGATATTTCCCAAGACCAGCTTCTCAGTGGACCAGCTTCTCAGTGATGGCCAGAATGATGATTTGCAAAGTTTGGACTTGATGACCACACCTAGGCCCTACGTCATCTAGCAATGCTAGATGTTTGAGACAGGGCTGAAGAATCAGGAGAGAGGACTGAACCATTTATTAAAATTATACAAGGCCCAAAAGAAGCCTTCACTGATTTTTTGCAAAGATTGACCTCTAAATTGACCAAAGATTGACCTGTAAATAGAATACTATCAAATCCAGAAGTCAGACAAATATGAATTGAATCTTTGGCTTTTGAAAATGCTCATTCATGATGCAAAAGAGTGACTAGGTCTTTAAAGGCAAGATCAGCACCCAAAGATGAATGGATCAGAAATACAGCTAATACTGGATCTCACTTATGATACTACTTTGACAAAAGTGATTTCTAAAAATTTTAGGAAAAGTCAAAAGGAAAGATGTTTTAATTGTGATAAACATGGTCATCTGAAAAGGGATTGTAGGCAAAGCATTCCTAGAAACAATGTTTTTTCTAGAGATAACCCAAACAGAAGATCCCAGCCTTCTGAAGTAGACGGAAAGTGTGGCAACAGCCAGCATTGGACTAGGATGGAGAAGTAATCCTTTACCACTGCAAACTGTGTTAGGGGGACTCTCACAGGCCCCAACATCAAATTTGGTTCAATCACTCCCTGTCAGCACTGAAGAAACTCCTCCATAGAGCAATTAAAGGACGTATTGCCTGTTGTTACAAACCGTACTGTGGACGACAGAACAGCTTCAGCAGGTAAGACACAACTCTCAGGAAAGACTGTAAAGCAAGGAATTTGGCAAACTTCTATAAATGATCAATGATCAAAGGAAAAAAATATGAATAAATGCATAGTAAGTGAAGGTTTGGTTAACACAGGCACAGCTGTAAAATAATTGCACCAAAATCTCTGCATCCAGATTGGCCTCTTCAGGGGGTAAATATTTGAGTTTCTAGGAGTTGGAATTTTATCTCAGGTAAATCAAAGTACAGGGTGAGTTGGGTGTTTAGGGCCAGAAAGACAGGTAGTAAAATTAAAGCCATACGAATCCAACACAGCAATGAATTTGTGGGGACATGATTTGTTTCAGCAATGGAAAACACAGATTGACATTCCTCCAATCTCAGAAACAAACCATAAAATAAAGAATGCTTCTGAGAGAAATGTTAAAAGGAATTAAGAGTCACCAAGCGTTCAAGTTGTACCATAAGCAGGGCACAACAGCTGTTGATCTTTCAAAGGTACCAATAGCCCTCCCTGCCTTTAAAATGTTTAACTGACAAACCTGTCTGAGTGGATTTAGAAGACTGCTTTTTTATTATATCTTGACAAGAACAGGACGATGGAAAAAAGTTTGACTCCATAGTGCCCACTTACAATAATGTCAACCTGTTAGAAGATACCAATAGAGAGTCTTGCCACAAAGAATGTTAAATAGCCCCTCCCAGAATATTCTGTACAACAATTATTGGAAATAATTCTTAAAGTTTCCTCAATCTATAATTTACCATTACATAGATGATATCTTATTAGCTGATTCGAATGTAGATAATATAGAGAAAATTTTTTGAAGAGAATTTTGCCTTATTGGGGATTATAAAATGCTCCTGGGGAAAAAATACAAAGAGATTCTATTAATTACCTAGGATAAAGGATATTTTACAAAATGTATAAGATACATATAGATATCTATAGAGAGATAGACAGACAGACAGACAGACAGACAGATATTAATGGTCATATAGAATAATAACTAATCCTAGAAATAAGCGTCATCTAGCTTCCCGTATGCGATTTTGGGATTGAGTCTGAAGCAGGTAACTAGGAACTAAGTTTGAGGACCCCGGATGATTTAACAGATTGTGGTCCTTTAACATCTCCAAGATCTGCTGTATATTTTCATTTAAAATGTTTAAGTTTTCTGCAGTGAACATGACTATACCTGGTAGTAACTTCTGAGGTCTCCAGAAGATGATGGCATCCTGCAGTGACGAGGCCACCTAGACTGTGGCAGTGCCACTTGGCCAGATCAGCTTTGGACTACAAACTGTTCAGGACATCAAGGCAGTTAGTTAGACGGTTTAGCTTCAGATCACTCCGCTAGGACTTCCAATAAGCCCTGCATGTTCCCACTGTATCGAGACTGGACAACAGCTAGCTCTCCCAGAACTTGACATCATCTTCACTTTCTCAGGGTCCCCTAAAGATGCTGTTGTCCTGAGACAACAGGAAGTAGTTTTAAGAACACGACGCCCACATTCCCGAGAAGTGGGGTGGGTAGTTTTGGTCATCTGGTAGTTATGGATGTTTATCATCGTTTAGTGGGGTTGGTGCAAGTTGTTATTGGTCATGGTCAAGGAAAACACTAAGCAAAGGAGGTTAGATTCTGGGATCTCTTTCTGAAAAGATAAAAAAAAAGGGAGGTGGACATAGGAATGATAGGATAAAATGAAACACTTTTAAACTAAAAAGAAATAGCTATTAATCCCAAATATTTTACATTGGTATGGATTTTTGTATATTGACACAAATTTAAGGTTATTTGTTAGAACATACTGTATGTATATGTATATATGTTCTACTCTTGTTTAATGTATTGTGCCTTTACAGCTCATTTAAAATGTAAAGTTTAGTTTCAAATAGTTTGAAAGTTATTATTATAAACTATTTAGAGTAATTAAGAAATGCAGGTTAATAGTCATCTATAACATGCAAACTTGGGGTGTTAGGTGTGTTTTCAAAGTCAAATAGATGTTTTAGATAGATGATCTTCAAACACTTCAGAGATAGAATATACTATTTAAAACATTTTAATAACATAAGGCTTTAAATGACAAAGAAACATGTCTGCTCCTGGCAGCACCAATCTACTTCGGAGACGATAATGGGCGTCAAAGAACCTCCATATGGGGTTTGCTTTCATTTGTGGCAAATTTAGCCACTGGGAGAGAAGCTGCCCTTGTCTCAACTGCTGCAATAAGCTGTCTGTACTGGACAAGCAAGGCACAAAAGGTGATTGCTGAACTTGGCTGAGACAAGGGAGGAGAGTCTGTCAGATATCCTAGGCCTACGGCCAAAGATGGATGCCCCAACGATGCAGAGGAACTTTGGCTGACTGTCCAGATGTCTCTGTCATTTCTAAAGTTTTGGAAGTTGCTTGGTCTGCACTTCCTGTTTACTCAGGTAGTATTCTATTCTCTCTGGTCTCTGATGGAATTGAAGACTAGATAGTTATATCATTTTTTTTCTTACCAAGTTTAGAAAAGAAACTTACAAAAGAGATATAAATTGTATAAGGTTGAGAAACTACGATGTTTATCTAGGAAAATGTTTTAAGGTCTAAAAAGATACTTTTAGGATGGTAATACAAGGTATGATAGAAAGTGGTCTAGGTATAAAAATTTGGACTCATCAAGATAGACAGATAAGAGTATTTTCTCCGAAATTGCCAAATACAAATGGACTGGACATTATGAATGTAATTCTTACTATATATAGTTTTACTGTGTTAGAGCTAAAACATTTCCTTTTTGTTTAGATAAAAAGGGGGAAATGTTGCAGGATATGATCATATGGTTACATTCCAGAGCCAATGACCAACTGACCAGAATTAGCCATGAAGATTTTGGAGGACCCAGGATTCGATACAATAGAGAGGCACAGGAAAGAGTAGAGAGGGGCTTAGAAAGATTCGGGGGCCCTTTTGAGAAGAGACAAGGTTAGCTGGACATTCCTCTGCTGCTTTCCTGATCTATCAGGTTTTTATTAATAATAGAACAATTTAGGTAAATGCTGCAGGGCCCCTGTGGGAATGAGAAGAAGGAGGTGGATCCTCTGGAACTGGTGTGACAGGTGATGTGAGCCACCATGTGAGTGCTGGAAATCAAACCCAGGTCTTCTGCAGAAGCAGCCAGTGCCCTTAACCACTGAGTCACCTCTCCATCCCCATTTATTAATTTTCTTAAGAAAGAAAAAACAATGATCTAGACCAGTGGGAACCCACATGTCAGCGTGCACAAGGCACAACTCTCTCTCTGTCTCTCTCTGTTTGTCTCTCTCTGTGTCTCTCTCTGTTTGTCTCTCTCTGTTTGTCTCTCTCTCTCTGTCTCTCTCTCTGTCTCTCTCTGTTTGTCTCTCTCTCTGTCTCTCTATGTTTGTCTTTCTCTCTGTTTCTCTCTCTCTCTCTCTCTCTCTCTCTCTCTCTCTCTCTCTCTCTCTCTGGACAGAGAGCACATGTCAGACCCAAGTCTGTCTTTCTCCCCCAGCATCACTAATCACTTATACCCACTTATAATTTTGAAGAATTAGTGCTCTCTAAAACCAAACCTGGTTAACGTAGACTTGGCACTGTCTCAGCTGAGAAAACCACAGACCATTCTCTGCGTTAAGAACCCCAATAAACTGACCTAGTTTCTTCAAGCATTTTCCTTAACATCCTGCCCTGGGCCAGCAAATGCATCAGCAGGTAAAGGCACTCGCTGCCAAGCCTCAGTCTGATCCCCCAGGACCCACACAGGGGAAGAAGAGGGCCAGCTCCCATGAGTTGGCTTCTGGCCTGCCTTGCATGCCATGGCATACACACTGGCACATAGACACAAATAGATAAAGTAACTATAGGATAGATAAATATCAAAAAAAATTTAAACAGATGCTGCCCTGACAGGGGAAGGAGGGGAAACAGGACTTGAGAACTAACTTGAAACTCAGGCCTGGATAAGAGGTCTATGGGAAACAGCTTCTCAACCAATACATCTCCATTATCTCAGAATGCCTCAGGCTCTAAGGGCTTGGAAAGTCAAGTCCCCAAGCTTCTTTAATGTTTAAATAGCCTACATTTTTTTTTCTCTCTCTTTAGTGACTTCAAAGGAAGCCCAAAGTGTCCCGGCTTTATTACTCCCTGATAGATAAAGATTACGCCAGCACATAACATTAACACATGAGATGGTCAGATAATAAATACACTCACGCTTTTAGCTTTGCCACGCATTTCAATGCAGTGATACCCACGCCCTAAACCTCAGAACCTATGACTATGTCAACTCACTTATGTCAAGGCACCCTGCAGGTGGGCTAATGTCTTCATACAATGCCACGATGATGGCCCAGGGACAACCATGGACTGGGAGAGGTACACATTTCCCCACCAAAAGATTGGGAGCAGCCTGCAGTTGGAAAAAGGCTGACTGACTTTAAAATTGATCCCAGTGACACAAAACCTGAAGTCAGCAGCATGGACAGATGAGACCCTGAAAGGGACAAGAAGTAACCAATTGTACCAATAATAGTGGCGGGAGGGACAAAGAGGGGCTCCTTAATATTCTGCCCCATAAGGAGACATTTATACTCCACGTTGGGAATGTAGAGACATATATGAGACACAAGGAGGCTGAAGAGATGGCTCAGTGGTAAGAACAATGGTTTCTCTTGCAAAGGACTGGGTTCCGTTCCCAGCACTCACATGGCCGCTCACGACCACCTAGAAGTACAGATTCAGGGGATCCAAGGCCACCTTCTGTCCTCCAAGGACACTAGGCAAGAACATGGGTCACAGACTTACAGTCAGGCAAAACTCTCACACACATATATAATAAATTTTAAAACAGGAGAGGTAAGAACACCAGGGGTCTCAGAAAATTGCCTGACACCTGGCAGAGCTCCAACGATGGGCTGCTTTGTGCCTAACTCTACCTCCCCCAGGACTGCTGGATGCAGATGAGACGTGAGACAAGATACTAAGATGCTATTCTACCTTGTTCTCAGATGACAGACTCTGCGAATAGAGCGCACCTTCAATTGTCGGTCCCTGCCTCTGCTCACTGGCATTTATGGTGATGAGCACTGATATTCCAGTAACACAAATACATACTCTCCACAGAGTATGTCTGTGTTTGTTTGCCATATGTCACGTGCAGCTGCCTACAAAGGTCAAAAGAAAGCATCAGATCCCAGGGAGCTGGATTTCCAAGTTGTCCCGAGCCTCCTGACATGCAGCGAATTTAACTCCAGCTCTCTAGAGGAGCAGCAAGTGCTCTTAACCACTGAGCTGTCTCTCCAGCCCCCATCTGCTCTTTTAAAGAGAGATTAGAATTCTGTTTTTTGTTCCTCTGTAGCAGATACTGTTCAAGTTAAATGTAACAATATTACAAATACAAAAGACTGAAGGAATAGACCTGAAGCAACGAATCTATAGCTGTTGTGGAATAGAATATTTAAGTGTGCATAGATGTTACATTTATTTATGCTGCATTTGTTTAGTATATAAAGATGTGATGCATTTATTTCACCTTGCCTACCTAAGGCACCTGATTGGACTAATAAAAAGCTGAATGGTCAATAGCTAGGGAATAGAGGGATAGATGGGGCAGGCAGAGAGAGTAAATAGGAGAAATCTAGCCTCGAGAGAACAAGGGAGAAAGAGAGTGAGACACCTAGGACCAGCCAGCCAGGCAGTGCCCAGCCAGCCAGACAGGTAAGGTAGGACATACAGAAGGAAAGGGCAGTGAAAAGGCCCGAGGCAAAACATACATGAAGAGAAACAGGTTACATTCTAAGAGCTAGCTAGAAACGATCATAAGCCAAGTCAAACATTCATAACTAATAAAAAGTCTCCATGTCACAATTTGGGGACTGGCAGTCCAAAAAAGCCTGCTATACATATTTCTCTAGAGAAGCCCATCTCTAGAAATGGTAAGAAAGAAAAGGTTTGTCACTGGGAGTAGGGCACCTTTCACATCCAGATGTCATCATCCCCCACATCTCAGAGGCCGGTCACTGGGCTCTGACTATCCTAAACCTCCCAGGACATCATGGAAAGTCACTTTCCAGGAGCGTCTGCCCTGGCTGTAACATGTATGTCACAGCTGATTCAGACCTGGGAAGAGCCCCAGCGAACTTAATCCTTCCAGTCTACCCATCAAGGGGCATTCTGAATTCAGGGCCAAGTACATCCTGAAACAGGCCAGCCCATCTCAAATGCGCTTTCATTTCCTGCCAACTACATACTGATGTGAGACTGGCCAGGCAATACCAAAGCGGGGCTTTTTTCTGTCCCTTCACAGCAGGTGTGCCTGCCATCCATGGCAGAGCAGACGGTGTTTCAGGGAAGCAGGCACCTTCCCAGACAGCTCCCTGGAGCCAACTGACAGCATCAATTCCAGAACCAGCCTGCAGCTGGAGAGGAGCAGAGCTCAGGGATATGGGTTCAAAGCACAGTCCCACGCTCATGTCATGGCTGTCATTGCTACCCAAGAAGGGGCCACAAGTGACACCAGCAACTAGCACATGGACAAAGCTAATTTTTTTAAAAAAAAATTATAAACTGTTTGGCCTACTTTTCAGGCTTATTAACTAGCTCTTACATTTTAAGTTAACCCATAATTCTTATCCATGTTTAGCCACGTGGCTTGGTACCTTTTCTCAGTGAGGCATTCTCATCTTGCTTCCTCTGCATCTGGCTTGTGACTGTGTCTCTGCCATTCCTCTTCCCAGAATTCGCCTAGCTAAACCTTAAAGCACAAAGAGCTATTTATTCACTCCTGAACACTCTGCCCACATGGCTGGAGGCACACAACCAACAATGAACAGCCAGGAAAGGACGCCCAGACTGACTTACCCGCCCATCTTGCAGTCCCCAGTTCCACCTTTCCAGGCTCTGACATATTTTGGATTGGCCCACAGTGACACTGGATTGAATGTTCCACCAGAAAAATAAGATCCCACAGGGCTCAGGATCACAAAGAGCTGGGCTTTGGATGGCTTCTTGACTCCAAGAGACGGCTGTAATAAAGATAAAAGACACCTCTGTAACAGACAGTGAGACGTCCTTTGTAAGCCTGGGATAGACTGTGTCCCCCTCCCAGAAGGGGGACCCAACCAAAGCCTTTTAAAGAAAAGACTGACTATGAGTATTTAGGTTAGGAGGTGAGAAGGACAGGACAGGATGGGACACAGGATGGCTCAATGGGTAAAGCGCTTGCTGCCAAGCCTGAAAACTCAACTAATTGGAACCTGATGCCTAAACATCACAGGGTAGAAAGAAGAGAACTAACCTCCATAAGCTGTCCCCTGACCTCCACATACATGGTATGGCATGCATATTCCTCCAGCCCCACCCTGCACACACACAAAATAAATAAATGTGACTTAAAAAAAAACTTTAAGCTTCATTTTTGGTTTTTTCCTGAGTTATGACTCTTTCCCCAGCCTGTTGGGCATCCAGAACATGTGAGGGCAGTGAGCAGGGAGTAGACATGGAGAAGGAGGCTGCGACCATGCCTACCTGTAAGGCAATAAAAGGTGGCAGATGGGGTAGCTTTTCTAGACAGAGAGGACAGACAGGAGAAATAACATCAAAAGGACAGGAGACCTCGCATCATGAACCGGGAGCTGGAGAGGTGGTCCAGCAGCTAACAGCACTGGCTGCTCTTGTAGGGGACCCAGATTCAGTTCCCATCACCCACATGGAGGCTCACAGCTTTTCATAATGCCACTGCCAGTGCATTATGTTCATAGTGCCCTCTTCTGGCCTCCTCCGCTACTGCACACACACAGCATACATACACACATGCAGAAAAACAACCTTCCACATAAAATAAAAATAGTCTTTAAACAAGAAATGAATGAAAGACAGAGGACAGACAGCCTTTTCTATGAATACTGGAGACCTACAGACTCCTCCAGCACAAGGGAGGATGTTAACTTGGGCCTCTGGATTATTAGAGACTGAAAGTATCCAAGGCAGTGTGTCCTAAAGGGAGAATGGTCTGTTTCCAGTGAGCTATGCAGCACAAGACCTCAGCAACAGACAACCAACCAGGATTGCCTGCGACAGGTGCTAACTGCAGCCTGATCTGCTGGTGTCACCGAGGATGGAAGCCATGAGAAGCGACAGTGATGGGGCAGGGGTTTATTGACAAGCTGATGCTGGCCTATCAAGCTGCCATTTGCTTGCATTCCATCGCACCTACTCTACTGCACACTGTCTGTCTGTCTGTCTGTCCAGGCCCCCTCATTAAGAACCAGATGGTGGCTGGGTGACAGTTGTTAGGATTCAGGCATTATGCTGGCCCCTGTCACCTGGCAAGATAAAAACGGGCAGTACCCTGGCCAACTTAGGGTCCTGTGGCTGCTACATCACTACCTAGGTATGCGGGTGCAAAAGGTCCCTTTAAGAGACAAGCTCCACCCATCCCCCCTTACCCTGCTCCAGAGGCAGGTTGCTCCTAGCTTCTTCCTCTCCAAATATTTCTCCTTCTCTCTTCCCTCCCTTCACCCTTCTCTCAATAAACCCCTCACTTAAACTCTGCCTGCATGGTGTACTTGCCTCTCACCTGCCCCTGGCCCCAAGGTCATCTCTCACAACAGCACTTTAGCCTTTAACTCCAGCACTTGGGGCAGAGGAAAGACGGAACACTGAGTTCAAAGCCAGCCTGGGCTACAAAGATAGTTCCAAGACGGACAGGCAGGAAATCCCTGTCTTGTGGGGAGGGGGAAGAACCAGATGGTAAATATCTATAAGCCTTGGGAAGCGTCTGTGGGCTGGTGGTGAGGTGGCTTATTTGCCGTATAAGCCTGACTACCTGAGTTCAATCCCCAGGACCAATGTTAAAAAGCCAGGTAAGGTAGGATGTGTCTCTTGTCCCTGCACCCTTGCAGTGAGGAGACAAGAGTAAGCCGGCTAGCCTGAAGCACAACACAGTAGCCAGATCCCGCCTCAAAGAGGTGAAATGAGAAGGAACTTCAGAAAACTGGCCAGTTGGTTGGCTTACCTGTACTACTGGGCCATGATGAATGCACACACTCACACGTGTGCATGCTTGTGCGCGCGCACTCACACACGTTACACGAGTTCGAATTGGTCTTATTAATAATAAAAACCTGGAGCCAGATATCGGGGTAAATGCTGAAAGATCAGAGAGACACAGGAGCATCCGTGGCCCCGTAAGAACATTTGGGATGGTCTGGGTTTTGCTGCTGTTGGTTTGGTTTGGTTTTAGGGGTGGAAGCGGAAGAAGCAGGCCACAGCCTGCTTCTTTACACAGCTGATTACAACCTCACTGACTGATGGAGGAAGGTCTTTGGTTAAATAAAAAGAAACTGCTTGGCCCTCATTGGTTAGAAGATAGGTGGGAGGAGTAAACAGAACAGAACGCTGGGAGGAAGAGGAAGTGAGCTCAGATTCCACAGCTCTCCTCTCGGGAGCAGACCCTCAGAGAGATGCCATGCTCCCAGCTCCCAGACAGACGCACGTGATGAAGCTCCAACCCAGGATGGACATAGGCTAGGATCTTCCCGGTAAGCGCACCTAGGGGCGCTACACAGATGATTAGAAATGGGCTAAATTAATATGTGAGAATTAGCCTAGAAGAGGCTAGATAGAAATGGGCCAAGCAGTGATTAAATGAATACAGTTGTGTGTTGTTATTTCGGGCATAAGCTAGCCAGGCAGCCGGGGTGCTGGGGACGCAGCCCCGCCACTCCTATTATTACAACTGACTTTCTATGTTAGTGGTTGAAGAAGTGATCTCTGGCTTCCTGCTAGCGTCCCCTGCCATTAAGGACTCTCTCTGTCCGGAATCACGGGCCCAAATAAACTTCCTTCTCTAGGTTGCCTTGCTCACCGTATTTTATCACAGCAAAAAAGCAACCAGTACAATGATAAGGACTCTGAGTAAACTGAAGATACAGTACGGTACCTGCTCCCTGACGACCACATCTAGCTTTTAAATTCTGAACGAACTGCGTTTCTGATGTATAACCTAATAGGTCTTTGTCATCTACCACATGAGTTCTGGGACTCCTCAATGACTTGACAGGCATCAGTGCAATTTGCACTATATTTAAAAAGTAACAGTCACCTAATAGGATAAATTTCTTTCTGTACTGAATTTAACCTAGTTTATGCTGAGGAGGTAGACTTGTGGCAGGGCACACGAAGCCCTCTAGATTTCAAGAGCCGCACGAAAACAGAAGCAAATTTCACTTTCCAAGTCCATTTGCCTGTATTCCACCAGGTGGCGGCAGAGAGCGCAGACAGAAGGAAAAAGGCAGATTCATTCAGCATCTCCATCAAATCTGTCTCCAGAAAAGGCATCCTGATGAATCATTTCATTCATATCTGTATCCTTAGCAACAGCTGAGTTATACATTTGCAGTTTTCGATGCTGGCCAAAGCTGTGTGTGAGAATACCTTCTAAAACTGAAGCCAGGTCCTCGACAACCGAGTGTTCCTCTGTGGATCACAGCTTAGGAAACTTCTGTCATTTACATTCATTGCCTTTCCATGAAAAGAACTCGTTGGGGGAGGGGGAGGGATCTGGCTCTTGTAGAGGACCCAAGTTCAGTTCCCAGCCCCACAAAGAGGCTCCCAACTGACTGTAATTCCAGTTCTAGGAGATGCAATACCCTCTTCTGTCCTCAAATGGGCACAGTACCCACGAGCTCAGATAAACACACAGACAAAATGCTCACAGACAAAAAAACGATTATATCTTCCAAGAACTCACTGATTCTGCTGGGGAGAAGGTCTCAATTCCACTTCAATACTGAGCATGCGTCAAATGCCATTCTGGCTCTGTGAAGGAGCTAGGTGACAGACAGGCACTTCCCCCTCAAGGTCCCTAATACCTTGGCTTCACTTGGCACTTCTACAGCGCAGAGCAATTTGAGCCCCATGCTCCTTGTCAGAGAGTTTTATGGTGCTGTCAATCAATGACAGTGACAGAATCCTGGGAAGGTAAAACTGGGTGTCTGATTAACAAAAACAAAAGCCAGCAGCTGAGGGGCTGCAAATGACAGTCTGATTCTCTTGGGGACATTTTTGTTTTGACTTTGAAAAACAGGGTCTCATCATGCAGCCAAGGCTGGCCCCAAACTCATAGCAGTCCTCCTGCTTCAGCCTCCCAAGGACTGTGATTATAGCACCACACCTAGCTCCTCCTTGGGGTGGGGGTGTTTCTGGGGAGATGCTGGGAGTTTCACACTAGGTAAGTATGGCACCACTGAGCTACACCCCAGGCTGCTCAGAACAACAGCAGACTCTGTATCCTCAGATAATCTGAATAAAGAATGGGGAAGGCTGTAGCATTTCGCGTGCTTCAAGAGACCTCACTGAGGCTGAAACACTAATGTCTTTATATGTTTATATACGTAAGTGTACACAGAGAGGGGGAGAGAGAAGGGGAGAGATCTTTTATTTCACAAGTTAAGGCTCCACAACACGGAAGCCCCTCTGCGTTCTGCATAGAGGAACGGCATGGAGGTGTGTTGCCAAACAAAGCCTGCTTCTTTCTGGGTCACCCAGAATTGCTTCACGGAAAGGCGGGATGTCACTGGTTATTTGAAGGATGGCAGAAAAGAGCCAGTGAGCTGAGAAATTCCATTAGGAACAGTGCGGCCTCAGAGGCAGAGAGCTTAGCGGCCTGGGGGGCAGGGGACTGCAGGACAGACAGTACCAACCAATAGTGCAGCCTCAGAGGCAGAGAGCTTAGCGGCCTGGGGGGCAGGGGACTGCAGGACAGACAGCAGAGAGTACAACAGCACGGCGCGCGCGCGCGCGCGTGTGTGTGTGTGTGTGTGTGTGCGCGCGCGCGTGTGTTGTGGGGAGGAGGATGCAGGACAGACAGTTCTAATCAGAAAAGCAAACCAAAGCAAAGGCTAAGGCCTGGGACCAGAAGGGGCTAAAGCCTGTCAAAGAGGCCAGCTTGCCTTCTCTTTCAACCAGAGACTGCTTTTCTTTTTTCCTTTAAGACAGGGTTTCTCTGTAGCTTTGGAGCCTGTCCTGGCACTAGCTCTTGTAGAACAGGCTGGCCTTGAACTCACAGAGATCTGCCTGCCTCTGCCTCCCAAGTGCTGGAATTAAAGGTGTGCACCACCACCGTCCGGCTAAGAGACTTCTTTTTAAAAACAGTTTTGAAGTTAAAGGAGAAAATGGAGCTGGATACTGTGGCATGTATCTGTCATCCAAACACTTGGGAGGCTGAGGCAGGAGGATCAAGTGGTCAGGGCCAGCTCAGCTGCAGAAGAGTCTGGGCCTACATAGACCTTTGAAAAAAGAAAGAAGAACTTAGGGCTGGAAAGATGGCCAGGGAGAGGGACAGATGCAGGTACTCTGTTCAGTTTCCCTTTGATTTAGGTAGGAACCCAGGATTGTCCACACCCTGGGGTGGCTCTCCCTCGAAGGTACACCCTCACAGACACACTCGCCCGGATATGTGTCTCCTAGGTGACAAATCCAGTCAGGCTGACGGTGAAGAGGTGACTGTCCCAGGACACAGGGCCTCTAAGGCCGGGCGTTACACCATGTGAGGTCACAGAGTAAATCCCTCCATCTGGACGAGGGTCTTTGTAAAGAGAAAAAGACACTAAAATTCTCTCCCTAACTGGCAGACAAAGGGAGGCCTCACCAGAAGCCGGCCATGATGACATGGAGAGCTCAGGTCTAGCAATCAGTCTTGATCAAGAGAAGGCAAATATCACCATGCCTTTCACTTCAGTTAGTCCTGGGCCAACTACTACAGTAACCAATTTGATGGTGGCAAACTGTCACCTGCAAACCTAAAATACCTATTGTCTCATCTTTCACAGGAAAGATGACCTCGACAATAGGGAGGATGCGTGGAGCCATGAATGTTGGGACTAGAGTAGGGGGCGGGGGTGGGCTGGGGAAGGGATGGGGTGGGGTGTCATTCAAACCACATTCTGAAAGCCTCGCTCAAGAAAGAAGCAGGCTGGAGGCTAAGCTGAGCAACAGTGCCCAGCCAATGACATTTGGGGACACACAAGAGGGCCCAGTGAGGAGGAAGGCAGTTGCTGCCAAACCTAACTGCCCGTATGACATCCCCAGAACCCACACAGTAAAAGAAAAGAACCTGAAGGGACCCTAGGCAGCCAGGGCCTGACAATCATGGCCCTGGAAGATCTTGTTCCCTCTCCCCCAATCCCCTCAGCCCTGCTAAACTGCAAGCCACCAAGGCCTATTCCCTCACTTGGCCACCTCCTCTTCCTAAGGCTGGCTAAACAAAAGCCCCCTTTTGGCTGCCTTAATTAACATGCCTTATCAAAAGTAAGCACTTCATCCAAACTCAGGGTTTCCCCTTTTACCTGTATAAACTGCCATTTGCCTATGGGCCACGTCTGTCTCCTCCCGATTCAGAGGCGTCCTTTGTGCCCCTGTACCACCCACCCCCTTCTCCCTTGTTCTTTTCCCCTTCTCCCTCTACCTCCATCTCCTGTCTTTGTCTCTCATCCCTGACCTCTGTAAATCTCCTTTGTGCTAAGAACTTGGTTTGGGGAGTCTTGTGCTCCCAAGGGTTCCTTCAGAACTAACTCCCAGTGCTAAGAACTTGGTTTGGGGAGCCTTGTGCTCCCAAGGGTTCCTTCAGAACTAACTCCCAAGATGTTCTCTGCCTCCACACGCACTGTGGCACACACACACGCCCACTCACGTACAAACAAAAAATAAATGCACGGCTTTTAAAAGACTTTTGAAATCACAAAAGAGTCAGGTTTACCTCGGTTCCGATAAATGTGGGGCGGACGTAGAGACTGGCAGAGGTGGAGTAAGGGACCCACTCTTGGTCTATCTGTATGAGCTGCAGAATGCATTGTAGAAGTTCCTCCTCGTCAAACACCTGAGCAGACAGAATCTCCAGTGAATGCCAGCAGAGAACACAAGGCAGACTTCCGGTAGAGAACAGACAGAAAACTCAGTTTCCAAGGTCAATCCGTATTACAGTCCCAACTGGCTCCTTGAACAGACATTTTTTATTCGTTCATTCTCCCCCAACATGAAACATCATGAAAGGAATCCGTAATAAATGCAAAGAGAAAAAAAAAAAAAGAGAACCTGAATCCCTTTGGCAAAATAAAAAGTTAAGTAAGTATGAATTATTCATAAGGAAAAGATAAAAAGTTAAATGCCCTGAGGCTCTAGACAGCACAGCGTGTAAAGCCATGTTTCCCCAAACCTGATGGTCCGAGTTGATCCCAAGAACCCACATGGTAGAGAGACAGCAAAGTTGTCTTATGATCGCCACACTTGCCCCCCCCCAAAGAAACAAACAAACAAATGAAATTTTTATTTAAAAAAGATCAGATCCCACTTAGCACGCTCATACATCAGTTATAATTAGGTTTTACACTCAAATGTAACAAATAAAGACTTTTATTTTAAAATGGGCATCTGGGACCTCTTATCTTAAAATCCAAATCCTCAAATCTAACAAAACACTATGACTTCTATTTAAAAATTGACATCTGTGACCTCACATTCTTAATTATAACTGAATATTATGAACAAGTAGAACAAAATATTTAGATGATATCGGCAGCTTTAATGTTCAAAACAACTTCTTCCCCAGGAAACATAAAACACAAACCACAAAGAAAAATAAAGATAAAATTTGCCTATTTGAAACTTAAGGACTCCTGGTTTTTTGAGACCGGAAGTCGCTAGTGAGACACCCGTAAGGAAGGGCGCCAGGGCAGGCCATGCCATCCTGAACACGGGTCGGACAGACAAGGGGCAGATTCCTCAGGGGACGGGGACATCTCCATACACCACAGGGGACAGACAGGCTTGGTAAAAGGCTCATGTGGTTTCCAGGCAGCTGCAGGCCAGAGAGGGACACACAGAGACCTGATGAGTGACATCGGGTCCAAGAGCACAGCGGGCTAGCGGAAGGGTGACCTCTACATGTGACCGCAGGGCAGGGGTGACCAGCCACACTGGTAAACCAGGGTCAACAAGTCAGGTCGTAGGTGCAGCCGGTCAGAGATGAAGTTTAATCAATCCCATGACCTAGGCTAGGAAATCAAAGAAACGTAAGCCCACTTTCTTGCCCTCCTGAGCCACCTTGGCTAAATGGTTTGCTCTCCCCAGGGTGGTCTTAATTTTCTTCTCTACACAAAGGCACTAAAATTTACAATAAATGCCTTAAGATGGCTCAGCAACCCATGTGGCTGAGAGAACTGGCCCTTGTGAGGAGTCCTCTAAACTTACCGGAAGTACCCTGCCTATATAATAAAGTCAGCCTTCATACAATCTGTTGAAAACCTGATGCAATTATTCAAGAAGGATTCCTGTCTTGTTTTGTTTGATACAAGACCAGAACAAATCATGAAATGGAAGGTACCAATAGATGCACATACAGGCAAAGTGGTCCTCACGGCGGATCGGTACATTCTCTTCATGTTGAGGTCTGGTCGAAACAACCGGATCTTGTTATCAACTCCCCGAAAAGCCTTCAAGCCTTCAAAGAGCTGTGGGAAAGAGTAGGGTGTCAGCAGGTGACTGAAGACAGTCTGAGTGGATGTTGACAAAGCGTGCTAGAATGGAGAGGGGAGGGGAAGGGGGAGCAGTGGGGAAAGAAAGGGAGGAAAGGAGACCTGCTAGCAATCAGGAAGGAAGATCCAAACATACTGATACTACCTCACCTGCTCCTGGCCTGGAGCTGAGTATGTACCTTTTGCAGGTTAAGGAAGAGAGGGAGGAAGGGAGGGGAGAGGAGGAAGAGAAGGAGAGGAAGGGGAAGAAAGGAGGGGAAAAGCCAACTGCTCGTCTAGGTTTTTGAAGGCAGCCTTTTCTCAAGGTCCTGCTCAGGAAAGACTGTTCTGACCATCTTAGCACCTGATGGGGACTTAAGTCACACACGCCAGAATTTCTTCCCAACAGTGGGTACCAAGCTTCACAGAAGATGAACAGCTGCAGGGATGACCATTGCCCTCCACTGTCCTCCAGGGTGATCACAGGGTGACCACTGCCCCCCACTGCCCTCCAGGCAGTTGGACACCCTGGAAGTCCCTTCTCACCAGAAAGAAATGAAGAGAGAAGTTGAGGGACTTGTTCAGGCTAATCTGGCATCTCAAGACACGCTCAGAGAGACCTCACCCCTAGAATATCTTTATTCAGTTATCCATCTGTAATGTTCAGTGATTGACAGAGCTAGGTGGGCCCGCCAAGGCTGACATAAACAGCCTGCTAAGAGCTCAAAGTGGTCAAGCCAACAGAAAATTCTAGTTCATTTCTTTCTTTTCCTTCCTTGTCCCCCCCTTTTGTATATGAGTGTCTGCCCACATGTCTGAATGCACACTGTGTGCACGCATGCCTAGTGAGTTAGAGGTCAGAAGAGGGTGTCTGATCCCCTGGAACAAACTATAGGCACTTGTGAGCCATCATAAACCTGGGTCCTCTCCATAAAACAGGAAGCACTTTTTTTTACCCACTGGCCATCTCTCTGGCTCCTCTTTCTCTCAGTACCAAGTATTGATCCCAGGGCCAGTGTGCATCTAAGTATCAACTCTCCCAACTGGCTACATCCTTAGTCCTCAAAATTCCAACAATCCCTTCAGCAAGAAGGTAACCACTGGTAACAAACATTCCCTTCAGCAAGAATGTAAACACTGATAACAAAAGCTCCCCCATCATTTTACTTGAGACAGCAGGGCCCTTTCATCTCTTCTTCACGGGAACATCTGCTAAACGCCCAAATCAGAGCAATCATTTCTTTGTCCTTTCAAGAGAAAGCAGGGTGGCTGAAAACCATGACGTGTTTGGCTCACAAGTTCCTGGCTAAGATGAGATTGCTGTCCCCTAAGGCTGCAGTACTGCAGCCCACCAAACTAGCAGGGGGATAGCTGCTTCATCACACAAAATATTAAAATGATGGTGAGCTGCCAAGATGGCTCAACAGATAAAGAGGATTGCCTCCAAGCCCTGAGTTCAACTCCTGGGACCTACATGAGGAGAAAACTACTCCTGTGGGTTAACCTATGGCCTGGCAGGTGCATCACGGCAATCTCACCCCCCCCCCACACACACACACAGACAGATGCACACAATGCTCACATAGATACACATGAGCATGAGGGCATGAGTTCAAGTCCCAGAATCCATATAAAGCAAAGCGAGGCTTGAGGGACAGACAGATCCCCAGAGCTGGCAAGAGGACCGGCCAAACCTACTTAGTCCCAAGTCAGCGAGTACTAGAGGAGCAAGATGGACACTGCCTACAGAATGACAGACGGTCACACATTCTCTCACAAACACACACACACACAGAGGGAGGGGGAGATTTGTGAACTGGAGTTCTCTGAAAAGGTGGCCTAAGTCTGAAGATCCCTCGGAACATTCCCTAACTGTGGAGAGTCAGAATGTTGTGGATCCAGAGCCCAAATCATCCCGAGTTATCCTTAACCTCCACAGCCACCAATCCTCCACTTCTGTTTCTAACTTCACAATCTCTGGACTTTCAAGTAGATCATCATGGAAGCTAAAAGCACATCATCAGATAGCAGGACTTCTTGCTTGGCTTAACCAGCTCCCTCCTGTCCTAATCCGAACATCTCCTAAGAGTATTGACCGATGACTTGTTCTGTGACTATAAAAGGTTCATGTAACCACTTCCACGGTGGCCATGTCATTCGGGGCAACCTGATCCCATGTGCCCAGGCCACAACCACTGATTGACTCAGAATAACCCATCTCTTACCGCCTTTGGACCAGAGCAGGGTTTTACACATCATACAGCTGCCCCCATGCACAAGAACATTCCCAGGAAAGAAAAAGGCTCACCCAAAAGAAAGCCTGGACAAGGACACATAACGGAAAACTACTGCTTCAGGGACTTGTAAATGACCCGAGCTGCCCTCAGACCCCAGCAACCACATTCTTCAGCTATGACCTCCCTGGGCAAGGAGGCTAAAGGCCTAGGGCCATGCACCCCTGGACCACAAGCTTTCTTTCTAGATTGAATTCCAAACTTGCACTTCCCCAGCAGTCCCTGCCCAAGTGGCCCTGAGCCACAGTCTGCTTCAGAGGGCCCCCGGTGATGTCTCCATCAAGGCTGGTCGGGTCACCTGCACGCAGATGGCATGGGTGTTTACCCACACGCGTGTGCTGGTCAGGGGCCACCTGCATGACAGAGGGGCATCCTTCGGGCTGGGCTACATCCCCACCCCCAATATTTTTTTCTTTTATTGAAAATAATTTTTTTCTCACATAATATATCCTGATTTATGGTGTCTTCTCCTTCTACTCCCCCAGCTCCCCATCACCTCACCTCCTTTTCTGTCTCTCATTAGAAAGCAGGCTTCAAGTGATAACAATAAAATATAACAAGATAAAACAAAAACAACACATCGGTACTGGACAGAATTGACAGAAGAAAAAAGTCCACCTGAAGGTACAAAAATCAGAGACCCAGTCGTTCACATGCTTATTGTAAGGGACCACTTGTTCATCCTGGCCGCCCAGAACCGTGTTACTTTCATTGGTTAATAAAGAACTGCTTTGAGCCTATGGCAGGAAAAAGCAAAGCTAGGCAGGAAAGGCTAGGCTGTGTGCTGGGAGGAAAAAGGGCGGAGTCAGGACACAATGGATCCGCTGCTGGAGACAGACATGCTAGAATTTTGCTGGTTGGCCATGACCTCGTGGTGATGCACAGATTAACCAGAAATGGGTTAAATTAAGATATAGGAGTTAGCCAATAAGAAGCTAGAGCTAATGGGCCAAGCAGTGATTTAATAAATACAGTTTCTGTGTGATTATTTCAGTTCTGGATGGCTGGGACAAACAAGCGATTCCTTTCAACACACACTCAAGAAATTTCATAAAAACACTAAACGGGAAGCCAAAACATAAACACAGAGGACCTGGTGAGGACACATGTAAGCCCTGTGCATGCTGCTCAGTCTCTGAGTTCACATGAGCTTTGTTCAATTGATTCTGAGGGCCTTGTTCTCCTGTCCCTCCATCCCCTTGTCTTCCTGGCCCCTCCATCCCTCTTCTACTCTTCTGCCTCCTTTTCAGTGAGCAGGGGCAGAAGAGTGGTTGTTTGTTCCCTGAGCTCTGAGTGGATTTGATGGAGACATTTGATGTAGGGCTCAGTGTTCCAAGGTCTCTCCCTCTCTGCATCCTGTCTGGCTGAGGGTCTCTGTATTTGTTCCCATCTGCTACAGGAAGAAGCTTCCTGAAGGAAGAGTAACTTTATTGCTACATTTTTTTTTTTTTTAAGAACAGCAGTATTTGGTTTCACCCTAGGTCCCTGGGCTATCTGGTCTTCGGTTCTCAGAGAAGTGCTGTATTTTTATTAGATCCTAATAACACAGAGAGGACTGCGGGTTTTACTCCATGACAGAATAAATGTAATTTGAGGGCTATTTTTGGTTCTGCTTGTGTTTTCAGGCCAGAAGTGGAACACAAGGCTTTATTCATGTGAGGGAAAGTGCTTGAGCACTGAGCTACATCCCCAGACCTGTTATTTTTTAACTATAATCCCAGTATTTGGGAGGCTGAGGCAGGAGGATTGCTATAAGTTTAAAGCCAGCTTGCCACCACTAATAATAATATGAAAAAGTCAAACTGGAATTTCAATCAATCTACTCCAAAACCCCAAGTCTTTAAGCCTCAAAAAGGACCTTAATTCCTTGTAATTCACTTCCTGCGGACAGGCAGTTCTCTGGATGTGGTGCCTTACTCATCTGGGCTACACAGCTTCAAAAATGAATGAAAACCAGAAACCCACGGGAATTCTGAGCGTTAAGTCTGAGAATCAGGATCCCAGAGGCCACCAGCTTCTCTGAAAGGGGATGGTTTATTCACCCACCATTTGCTGCACATGGGCTTGGCATGAAGAACATAAGAACTCAGCCCAGAGTGTCCACTGGGAGTCAGCTGGGAAAGAAACTAAGAACCCTAAGCTCGGCCTGGGCAATGGTGCGCACCTGCAATCCTGGCGCCTGGGATGTGGAGGCACAGCTGGGAGTTAAGACCAGCTTCAGCTGTGCCGTAAGCTGGAAGCCAGCCTGGGCTATCGGAGACCCTGTCTTTAGAAGACAAAACAAAAGGTTCTACAGGTTGATCTTGATTGTCTTCTAGAATAGCAGGCACTGCTGGGTCAGGGTACACCGATGCACACTGTTGGCGAGGGGTGCTGTCTGAGCTCACAAAGTAGCTCACTCTCCAGGCAAGGCCGGCCCCTCCCACTTCAGACCCAAGTGTGTTTACCCAAGTGTCCTCCAAACCTGGAGCAGGCCAACACCCTGACACCCTCAACCCGTGAGGGAGAGAAAAGCTAACAGCCAAAACACTGTGTCCTTGAGAAGAGCTGGAAAATCAGACTGCTTATCCCATGTTTAAAATCCAGTGTGGGAATCTGAGGCCAGAAGTTGGTTCAAGGGCAGACCAGCCTGCTCTCAGCTGGGAAGGTCTGCCGATCAGTTTGCTCCTAAGCAGGCCCAACTCCACTGAGCCCCCCATTATCAGATAAGATCTGGAGCACCCAGGGTGGCCTGAGCACAGACACCCCTAGTCCCTTTCTACATGGGGTTGTGAGCACGGATTTAATGACATGACTTCTGTTTGTCCCCTCAATGGGGCTACCCAGGCTGTCTCTCCCGGATGCTGCAAGCCCCCCAACCTGAGCATGCTTTGCTGTCTGCTGAGCCTTTGTAGTTGATACTTGCTGTTCCTTCCATTACTTGGTGCTCGCTGTAAGCTTAAGTTACTCATTCTAAAGAGAGTGCATGCGCCGTTCTTTGGACTGTGTAGACTAGGTCATCACACATGTTCTCCCTGGCACCAGGCATGGCTCTCCAGCAGTGGTTCCCCACCTGTGGGTAGAGACCTCTCCGGGGGCTGAATGAACCTTTCACAGGGGTCGAATATCAGCTATCTGTATATCAGATATTTACATTAAGATTCATAACAGTAGCAAAATTAGTTATGAAACAGCAACAAAATAATTAAGGTCAGGAGGGTACCAATGAGGACGGGCCACAGCTTTAGGAAGGGCGAGGGGCACAGCCTCAAATGGACACAGATCCACTACGGGGTGGGCAAGATGGATCATCAAGTGAAGGGCTTGCTGCTAAGTCTGACGACCTGAGTTCAAGCCCAGACACCCACTTAGACAAAGGATAGCCAGTTCCCGCAAGTCATCCTCTGATGCCCACATGTAGGCACAGCATGCCCCTCCACACAAATGAATAAATATAATAAAAATGTAAAAGTAGTATCAGTCAGTATCCATCTTTAACAAAAGTATTAAATCATAAGTGTTTGTACTTCCCTGGTATGGGAGGTCCTTCTATATATGTGGTGCTTTTATTGGTTAATGAATAAAGAATCTGCCTTGCCTGTGATAGGGCAGAGTAGAGCTAGGCAGGGAAAACTAAACTGAATGCTGGGAGGAAGAAGGCAGAGTCAGGAGAAGCCATGAAGCCTCACCAGAGACAGACGCCTGGTAAACCACAGCCTCGTGGTGATACACAGATTAATGGAGATGGGTTAATTTAAAATATGAGTTAGCCAGAAATATGCTTGAGCTATTGGCCAAAGAGTATTGCAAATAATATGGGTTCTCTGTGATTATTTTGGGGCTGAGCAACCAGGAACAAACAAGCCGCCTATAACACTCCCCAAGTTCCATAAACCTTCAGAAGTACCTGAAATAGAACTGAAGCCCTATCCCTGTCTGCCTCTAGACCCTGAATTTTTTTAATTTAAAAATCAGCTCTTTTGAAGATTCTTTTATTTGTATACACATATACATGTCTGCTCACGTGCGTGTGTTTGCCCAGAGGCATGAAGGAGCATCTGATCTCCTAAAACCTTGAGCGGGGCTGCCTGGGATGGGTGCAGAGGACTGAACTGAGGTCCTCCGCAAGAGCAGCAAGTGCCCTAACCACGGAGCCCTGAATGCTGATGCCCACACTTCTCACTTCAAGTCATTAAAAGAATGACGCCAAGGTAAGGTGGGAAATCTGAACTCTAAACACAAATAATTAAATGAGAATGATCTACAGAAAGTACAAGATCTCAGGCTGGAGAGATGGCTCAAAGGTTAAGAGCATTGCCTGCTCTTCCAAAGGTCCTGAGTTCAATTCCCAGCATCTACATGGTGGCTCACAACCATCTGTAATGAGGTCTGGTGCCCTCTTCTGGCTTGCAGGCATACATGCAGACAGAATATTGTATATATAATAAATAAATATTAATAAAAAAGAAAGTACAAGATCTCTACAAAGCACAGCACTGGAATTCAATACTCAGAAATGGTTATTTTTATCATTGCTATTGATATTGTTTTTTCCTATGGTCATTTTTCAAGCCCTTGGTAGCGTTTATCTCTAGCACCTTCAATATTCTGGAAAAAGCTATCGCATAAAATAAAGTGTAGGACCACCAAGGCAATGACGGAGCTGGTTAACCATGTGTCTGCAGAGGACCAGGAAATGGATCCTCAAACATGAAAGAGTACATTCAACACCATCCCTTAATAAACAAACCTCAGGCTGGTTACAAGACAGCAGTTAGCACGGGCACCTGAGTAAAGAGGGAACTTAATAAATAAAATAGCAACGTTCACGGCTTTGGGGCTCTGTGAAGTGCCATTCCTTGGCCTGCCTGGGCTGCCCTGGAATGAACTGTATAGTCGAGGCTAGCCTTGGACCTTCTGCCCACCACTGCTTAGCTTGCCAAGAGCTGAGGTAACAGTCATGAGCACCAAACCTGGCTTCCTGTGGACTCTTTAGGTTTCTAATTTTCCTCACTATCCTTTGTGTGTGTGTGTGTGTGTGTGTGTGTGTGTGTGTGTGCACATATCATATACACACACACACAGAGATACATTTAGTTACGTATGTACTGGTACTTTTTTAAACTAGCATCACAGAGAAACCAAGACAATCTGCAAAGCCGTTCTTAGATGTGTCCTCAGTCCTTTTGGCTGCAGGAAAAATTGGAAGACATGCATGGCAACCTTTAGTAATGACAGCTGAGCCTGCCTAGCCCAGAGAAGCTCGTAAGGAGGAGAGTAACGGCTCCCAGCAGCTCCCAAGCACTCACTTCCACACCGTAGTGCAAAGCGGAGGCGGCAGGATGCAGAGACAGGTTCTCAAAGGGCTTAATGTGAGGCTTCTCCCACCCTGACGCCGAGGACCACTCCACCGTCAGCATGTGATCGGTAAACACAGTTCCAAACACCAGCGAGTCGGGGTCTGGCTTTTCCTTTAACACGGTGGCTGGTGTGATGATGATGTCTTTGGCCTGCAGACGAGAAATGAGCACCGTGAGGGGAAGCAATCAGAACCGCGCCGGCTAAATGGTCCAAGGGTCCACAAGTGAATGGCGTCCCTTGATATCCACAATGAGCACATAATTTAACAATAGAGGGTCTGAGGACATGCGTCAGTTGGAGGAGTGCACACTGAGTGTGCAAGAAGCCCTAGGTTTAACCTCCCGCACCACTGAAAGACATGGAGGCAAAGGGTTCAGAAGTTCACCAACCTTGTCTAAAAAAACAAAACAAGTCTCAGACAGCAACCTAAGCATAACACCATAACACCAAGAGAAGCAAATAGACCAAACCTGTGCTTGGAGTTCACACACACACACACACACACACACACACACACACACGTACATGTATTCTCATCCTCCCTCCCCACCCTCACACACACACACACACACACACATCCACACACACACACACACACACACGTATTCTCATCCTCCCTCCCCACCCTCACACACACACACACGTATTCTCATCCTCCCTCCCCACCCTTACACACACACACACACACACGTATTCTCATCCTCCCTCCCCACCCTCACACACACACACATATTCTCATCCTCCCTCCCCACCCTCACACACACACACACACACACGTATTCTCATCCTCCCTCCCCACCCTCACACACACACATGCACAAACACACACACATATACACGCATACACACACACAAGAAATTACTGCAATTAAAAACATTTAAAACAAAACTATAATCATAGAGCTGGAGAGATGGCTCAGTGGAAAAGGCTTTCTTTCCTCCCCTTATCAATCCACCTCCTCCAGGCAGCTATCAAGATTTACAGCTTGTTCACCCTGGGGATCAGATACTATCTTCTGACCTCTGTGTGTACCAAGCATGAACACAGTGCATGTACACACATACTTGAAGGCCAAACACATATAAAACAAAATGAATACATCTAAAAATATATTCTTATAAAAATCAGTAATCCCTACAACAGGAGTGGCACTGGACACCTGTTATGCCCCACACTCAGGATGCTGAAGGAGGAAGAGAGTCACAAATGTGAGGGCAGCCTAGGCTACATAGCGAGTACCAGGCCAGCCAAGGTTACATAACAAGGCTAACTCACAAACAAATCTCTGCAGTGACTTTGGCTGAAAAGTCATGGGAAGCACACCTCAGGGATGTACCCACATGGTAGGTGTGGGGAAAGATGCAGGAAGAGGAGGGACTGCTCCCCACTCCCACCAGACTCGAATGGATCCTTTCAGAAAGGAGGGGCATCGTCCAGGGAACAGTGCTGCTCACCGAGGCAGGAGGACCTTTGAGGTCAGAGCCACTGCTCCCATGGCTGCGTCCATCCATCTCCCCAGAGCATTGTGGGCACAAGCCTCCCATGCCTCCAGATGCACAGGGCAGGGATGAGAGCATCAAAGCGCTCTCCTCTTTGAAGATGGACCAGCAGAGAATGGAGCCTCAGATACAAGCCCTCTGTTCTAGGAGGATGAGACGATGAACAAAGCCCTCCTATTCGGGGACACAGAAGCAAGGGCAACAAGGGCCACAGGAAACAACTACCCTAGGCACTCCCCACAAAGCGGGCTGGACCATCACGAATGGCCAAAGTCACCATGGTGCTGATCCCTAACTTGTGAACAGTTAGAGAACAGTAAAAAAACAAAAACAAACAAACAAATAAACAAAAACCCTAGGTAGAGAGGAGAAAGCATTTGGTGGGGGTGGGGGGTGTCCTGTCAGACTCCTGTCACTCAGGCTGCCTCCGCCTCCTGAGAGTTAGAGATGTGCACCATCACCCCAGGTGTGAGTGGGGTACACTGAGCAAGAATTCTACCAAAGGGACTTCATGACCAGCCCCACCCATGGCCTCTGACAAGGAACACACAGAACAGGGCAGGCTGAAGATGGACAGTGTGGCTGAAGGATGAGACTGAATTCCAGACCTATTTATTCTTTAAAAAGTAATGTCCATTATGCATTTATCATATAAACAGTGCTCTGCCTGTATGCCTGCCTACAGGCCAGAAGAGGGCACCAGATCTCATCAGAGATGGCTGTGAGCCACCGTGTGGTTGCTGGAAATTGAACTCAGGACCTCTAGAAGAGCAGCCAGTGTTCTTAACAATTGAGCCATCTCTCTGGCCCTCCAGACATACCTTAAACACTGCACAGCCAATGCACACTGGCGGTTTAGAATTGTATTTATTGTGTGTATATACACATGATAAGTGTGTGGGCACACCACAACATCTGTGGGGGTCAGAGGACAACTTTTGGAAGGTGGCTCTCTCCTTCCATCATGCAGTCCAGGGATCAGACATGGAGTCAGATTTATACAGCAATCTTTTCCCACTGAGCCATCTGTGGCCCTGACTTCTGGTTTAAGTGACGTAATCAAGAATGCCCATGGTTCTTCAACAAGGCTTTCTTTCCTCCCCTTATCAATCCACCTCCTCCAGGCAGCTATCAAGATTTACAGCTTGTTCACCCTGCTATTTTTCTCTTGAACTTTAATAAAGTTGTCCTCAAGCATAAAAAAAAAAAAATACTTTCACTTTTCAATGGCCTTCTGAATTAAAAGTGACAGGCAGGGAAGGGAACATTAGTCTTGGCTTTCTACAATCCTGTGGGTACAGCTGAGCAGCCTTGAGCACAGAGAGCGGGCCGGAGGGACGTCTATATACCCAGGATTGACATCTATCTATATACCTAGGATTGACGTACTTTGGGCAGATGAGCCAAGCAGGTCATAGCAAAGGCCCTACATTAGGAATACAGGAAGGAATGAGAGAAGGAACAGGGAAAGGGTCAGAGGTCCTATGGCTGTCACAGCTGGGAAAACCATGCAAGGGGTGGACCAAATTAGGAGGCTATGTCCCCATATGCCAATCATATTCCAGTCCTCAGAGGCCCAGACTGTAGCCCTGGTTATCTCCTTCCCCAGGAATGTAGTTTCCAAAACCTCGGCAGGTACAGGAAGCCACACTACCGCAGGCCAGCCCATGGGAGGGGCCACCACTAGGGATGCCTGCAGGGTGATGTCTGTCCTGTATTTCCTGGTGGCTTATCAGTTGCTTGAGCAAGCCAGCTAGGCTAGGAAGCACTTAAGGAGATTTAGGTAAAAGAATCTGAGCAAGTTGAGTATTGTCCTGCAATCCTTCTCCAGATTTCCCTCCCTCCAGACCCAGGCTCTCCAGCCTGGGAGACCAGTGGGAGAGTTGGTAGCTCTCACTGTGTCTGCCCAGCTAAATATCAACTTTGAAACTTGGAACAAAATGAGTCTAAACCCCCAGCCCTTGAAGGTTCTAGGTCCATTTTTCTGCAATGCAATCTAGCTGATAGTTTTTTCCCCCTACGGTTGGTCAAGGCAGATAGCTCAGTGTGGAAAAAAAAAAACACTTGCCGTAAAAGAAGACCCAAGTTCAAATCCCCAGGCCACGATTTAGTTTCTATAATTCTATATTCTGAATCCTTTGCCTAAAATGCTTCCAGAGTTGGGCCTGTAGCTCAGGGTAGAGAACTTTGCTTACTGTGTAAAATACTGGGCAACATTACAAAAAGTGGAAAAACACCCAGTCTTCCCAGGCTAGACCAAAGCACTAGGGCTGCTTCGTGGCCAAGCTGAGACACAAAGAACATTTATGCTCATTTAGTGTTTCTTCTAGGTCAAAGAGATGGCTCAGAGGTCAGAGCACCAGCTACTGTTACAGAGTTCAGTTCCCAGCACAGTCTCGCAGCTCACAGACAAGCTTAGCCTCAGCTCCAGCACTTTCTGCCATCCCCTCTGGCCTCCGAAGACACCACACACACAGCAACATCCATACAAACACACAATTAACCAAAAAGAAATTTCAAACACTAGTGGAAACCCTAAATGAGAAAATCTCCCGGCGTTCCTTCTGCTTGTGTGAACCGCAGCAACTTCCCTGACTACTTCCCCACTCATCCAGACTTGAACATAAAGAATGCTTTGGATCCAGTTTTTTCTCAGCAACACAAAATTTTGTGGCCATCATAATTTCACCAAGAACTCCGAATTCCTCTATTTGAGGAAATCTCTGCAATTCTCACTGTATAGTCCTAGCTGGCCTGGAGCTCAGAGATACACCAGTCTCTATGTTCTGGGTGCTGGTATTAAAGGCAAATGGCTGGGGGCGCAGGGAGGTGAGGCCTGAAGACAGCTCAGCAGTTAAGACCATGGCTGCTCTTTCAGAGGGTCTGGTTCAATTCTGGCACCCACATGAGAGCTTACACTGATCCATAATGAGGGTCCTAGAAATCCGATGTCCTGGTCAGGTCTATGTGGACACCAGACATGCATATGGTACACACACACACACACACACACACACACACACACACACACACGGAGAGGGAAGCACTCATACATACAAAGTAAAAATAAATCTTTAAAAAACAAATGTCAGAGTGGTATTGCTGGATCCAGGGGTAGGTTGATCCCGAATTTCCTGAGAAACCGAAACACTGCTTTCCAGAGTGGTTGCACAAGTTTCCATTCCCACCAGCAATGGGTGAGTGTACCCCTTTCTCCACAACCTCTCCAGCAAAGGCTATCATTGGTGTTTTTTATTTTAGCCATTCTGACAGGTGTAAGGTGGTATCTTAAAGTTGTCTTGATTTGCATTTCCCTGATCGCTAAGGAAGTTGAGCATGACCTTAAGTGTCTTTTGGCCATTTGAAGTTCTTCTGTTGAGAATTCTCTGTTCAGATCAGTGCCCCATTTTATAATTGGGTTGATTAGCCTTTTACGGTCTAGTTTCTTGAGTTCTTTATATATTTTGGAGATCAAACCTTTGTCAGTTGCAGGGTTGGTGAAGATCTTCTCCCAGTCAGTGGGTTGTTTCCACTCTTGGGAATATACCCAAGAGAGGCCCTATCATACAACAAAAGTATATGCTCAACTATGTTCATGGCAGCATTGTTTGTAATAGCCAGAACCTGGAAACAACCTAGATGCCCTTCAACGGAAGAATGGATGAAGAAAGTATGGAATATATACATATTAGAGTATTACTCAGCAGTAAAAAACAAGGACTTCTTGAATTTTGCATACAAATGGATGGAAATAGAAAACACTATCCTGAGTGAGGTAAGCCAGACCCAAAAAGAGGAACATGGGATGTACTCACTCATATTTGGTTTCTAGCCATAAATAAAGGACATTGAGCTTATAATTCATGTTCCTAGAGAAGCTAAATAAGAAGGTGAATCCAAAGACAAACACATAGGCATCCTCAGGAATATTAACCTTCATCAGGCGATGAAAGGACACAGAGACAGAGACCCACACGGGAGCACCGGACAGAAATCTCAAGGTCCAAATCAGGAGCAGAAGGAGACGGAGCACGAGCAAGGAACTCAGGACCACGAGGGGTGCACCCACACACTAAGACAATGGGGATGTTCTATTGGGATCTCACCAAGGCCAGCTGGCCTAGGTCTGAAAAAGCATGGGATAAATCCGGACTAGCTGAACATAGCGGACAATGAGGAATACTGAGAATTCAAGAACAATTGCAGTGGGTTTTTGATCCTACTGCACGTACTGGCTTTGTGGGAGCCTAGGCAGTTTGGATGCTCACCTTACGAGACCTGGATAGAGGTGGGCGGTCCTTGGACTTCCCACAGGTCAGGGAACCCTGATTGCTCTTCGAGCAGATGAGGGGGGGGGACTTAATCGGGGGAGGGGGAGGGAAATGGGAAGCGGTTGTGGGGACGAGGCAGAAATCCTTAATAAATAAATAAATTTAAAAAAAAAAAAACAAATGTCAGATGGCTGGTATACACCTCTAATCCCAGAATTTGAAAGGCTAACGCAAGTGGATTTCTAGGAGTTCAAGGCCAGTCTAGGCTAAAATGGTGAGACCCTGTTTCAGAAAGAAAAAAAAGGGGAGGGGACCAACCAACCAGTATTTGTACAGGGATGTTTTATATCATGGACACTGGAAGATTACAGGAAAGCATGGTAACTAGAAAATAATAAGATATATAGATAAACACCCAACATATTAAAAACAAGTTTCTGGGCCAGCTATATGGTTAGGTGGGTAAAGGTGCTTTGCCTGGTGACCTAAGTTTAAAACCTGGAACCCACATGGTAGGAGGGGAGAGTCACGGTCTACAAGTTGTTCACTGATTTGCACAGACACGGACCCATCCACGTATACAAAATAAGTAAACAAACACGCCCTGATCTGCTCAGTGCTTCTGATGGCTCCTCTCTGAGAACCTAGAGGGGTCTGAAGAAGAAGATGATGCTACAGCTTTGGGGTCAATTAGGGGCAACGTAAGACGCAGAGAGCTCATCTCTTTCAAAGAGGACCCTGGTGTCTGCGGTAAGACTCACAGGTAACACACACAGCTCCTTAAAAGAATGGAAAGACAGTTCACCCGCTAGGGCGCAGGCTGCTCTTCCAGGACCCAGGTTTGATTCTCATCACCGAGTCCAGGGGCTCACAAGCATCTGTAAGTACAGTTTCAGAGGATACAGCGCATCTGATCTCCAAGGGCACTCACAGAGATGTGCACACTTACTGCACACACACACACACACACACACACACACACACAAAGGCGCACTACTCACACCTATAGGCTCGCTCCAGGGTGCTCAAGTCATGGTGGGGAAGGGTAGGAACAACCCCTCCGAGTTGCCCCCTGACACCCACACTCGCACCACGGTGCCCTCCCACGATAATTAATACACAAATGAAAATTTTAAAATGACAATAGATGTGTTTTTAATTTGTAAAGAATTAGATAGATGGTGGCGCATGCCTTTAATCCCAGCACTCGGGAGGCAGAGGCAGGCGGATCTCTGTGAATTCGGAAACCTGGTCTACAGAGCTAGTTCCAGGATAGGCTCCAAAGCCACAGAGAAACCCTATCTCGAAAAACAAAAAACAAACAAACAAAAAAAAAGAATTATATAGAAACAAACATGCCTGCTTTCTGGGCCCAGCTAGAAAACATCACCCTCCCTTTAATGGGACCTCGTCACAGTGGGAAAGGGACCTAGGAGAGACCTGGGAGCAAGGTGATGGCAGACAGAAGATCTAGGCTAAGGGTGTTACTCAGTCAAAGAGGCTCTAGGCTTAGTGTGTACACGGGCCCTAAGTTCAACAGCCAGCACTGAGCTTTCAATAAAACCCATCAATCTTATTCCCCAGATTATCAATACTGTCTCAAGCCACGACAAGCATTAACACACACAATCAAGTTGTATACAAATTTTAGTTAACAAACACATTATCTTCACTATGAACTTTATCTTGTGCTGAATACTTTGTATAAAAACATAAAGTCCTTTCAGTTAAAAAAACATATAATAATTTCTTTTGAGAAATTGAATCTCTGTCTTATAAAGGTTAGCAAGAAGCCAAGACCAGCCTGGTTTGTATGGAGTTCCGGGACAGCCAGAATGATCCCAAGCTTTTCATGTATTATAATTGAGTTCTGGAAAGTACTGGGTATAGAATTCTAGGCAAGCACTTCTGGGAGAACTGCACCCCACCTCCACTGACCAGGGCAGTCTTGGAAGCTCCCAAGCAGTCTGTAAGGATTAGCGGTTAAGCCTATTGCTTAGTGCACCAGAAACCACAGAGACAAAATCCACAGCAGCTCACTGTAGCATGTTTTACTATATTTTGTTGTGAGCAGAGCCTCATCTTGAATCTAGCACCCCCCCCCCTTGTTCCCAGCACTGTCCCCACACACCGAGCCTTCCCTGTAGCACAAAACTGATGAGTCAGGTTTCAGCCCCTCCCTGAGCTCTGCCAGGATGTGAGGTCAGAAGGACATTCTGTTCTATGGATGACAGTTGGCAGTGGCTATCAGAGCCAACAAAGTGACAGAGCCAAGCACCCATGAAGAGCCACACAACCCTGTGGGGTGGTGTGGATGATGAAGAACTCGGAGGAGATCTTTATCTTCATCCCTTGAGTAACTCTCCTGGGAAGCAGGAGGCCACGTCGTACATAAACCACATAATTCAGAGGGAAAGAAAACGAAACACCGCACTGTAAGTGAGTTCTATGATTTTTTAAGGAGGAAAGACACGGTGCCTTTTTCTTGGAGGAGCAGAGTGAAGGGTTGAGCTGATTCAATTAAGCAAGAATAAAAGATCAAAACAAAACTCAGGTTCCGATTCATCAATCGACCCTTTGCCAATAAAAGGAATGATTCATAAAATAAAACAAGCAGTTTGCTGCTAAGTGAATTTTGTTTTGCTGACTGGTAATAATCTCGAATGACTTTTTCCCTCACCGGCTGTAATTTAAAACTTAAGAAATCTGTGTAAATTTACAATTAAAATTCCCCAACCCCCAATCTCAACGTGAAATGCATTACCTAGCAACTTAACCTCCTGCAGACTTACCCTGAAAGTCTCGGCCACTTCTGATCCTCTTTCTCCAGCAAAGGGCGCCGGGCATCCATTACTGCAGTCCTTAAAAGTAAAAATAAACCTCCATTAACCAAAGTCAGGTGGGTCATTGCCGGTACCTGATCAAGGGACTCACCATCACAGAAGACAGAAAAGCCGAGCCTGGACGGTTCAATACCCAGCGTCAGCTCCAACCAGAATGACGACCCAGCCTCCCAACTTGGCCCCAGGTTTGGCTTATCTTCTAGTAGTTTAGGGAGGGGCTCCTTAAATTCCAGGTCAACCCAGGAGACAGGGTCCACCCGCAATGAACAAGAAAGCAATTGTCTCCCGAATGTCCAAGTGAGTCGTCTAAACCGAGGGTTTAAGCCATTTATAGGGGGGGAAAAAATCTCCCAAGCGCGCTCAGCCTCGTGGTCTTGTCAATCAGAGGCGCACAATAGGCAAGCGGCTTCAAGAGGGAGGGGGCGCGGACTGGCTGGAACCATTTTCTCCACCCGCAGGGTCCCTGGTGCTTTGGCGCCGCCAAAACCTCACACTTGAAGAACAAAACCTCTTGATACTGGTGGCAATTAAATGAATAAAAGACACCGAAGTTCGGAATTAACTAGGGAAAGGGGCAGGCATTCAAAAAGCTGGACGTTAATTTGCTAAATAATTGGAAAGGAGGGAAGGAAGGGGTCCAGGCTTGCAGAGGCTGGGGTGGGATATTTTGAGGTGGGGAAGGCTTTCCCTCATCCTCCAGATTTCCAGGCTGTGACACCCGCATTCCTGGTGGCATCCCCGCTATCCTTGGTTTTGCCCAAGTCCCTGTAGCGACCCTCAAGTTCTCCCTGTTCCACTTTGTGACCCCAACATCCCTAGTGATGACTCCTGCGTCTCCAGTGGAGAACCATGTTTCCCCAGTTCCCAGTGGCGACCCCTGAGTCCCCACAGTGAACCCTCAGTCCCCAGTAGAACCCCCCCCCCATGGCCGGTTGAGACCCCCAGGATGACCCCAGAATTCCCTGGAGACACTAGCAGTCCCTGAGTCCCTGGTGGCGACCCCAAGAGCACCCATGAATCATCTCCATCCCCGAGTCCCCTGGTGGCGACCTCCGCCTTGATCCCGAGTCTCTCAATCCCTGTGTCTTCCGTGGCAACCCCCGAATCCCCCTTGGCATCCCCTCTTGAACTGTGGCGCCGGCGGTGATCCCGAGAGCCTCGTGGCGCCCTCCCGCGGTGACCCCCAGAGTCCCCCAAGGGGTGCTGGTCCTTGACGCCCCTCGCCCATGCGGGTACCTGGCGGGCCAGGGCTGCAGTTGCCCGGGGCAAGCAGGCCATGACGAAGCTGCGGGCGTGTGGGAATGCGTGGCGCAGCGGCGACACGTGGCGCACGATGAATCCTACAAACCCGGGGCTGCTGTTTCTGCTGAGCCCTGGAAATCCGAATGCTGAACCACGGGCTAGTACCCGGCACAGGGAGGAGCGCAGACGCTGCAGCATCTCCGTATTGTGGGTGCGCGCAATGACGCGGGGCTGGGCACGCGAATCAAGGGCCCAGGAGCACAGGCGTTTTACTCAAGAACTCAGTAGGGCAGGACCCAGGACACTTCTGCGACACATTTACATCACAATGGCTTTCTCTGAAACTCGGGAGGGAAAAGGACCAGGGTTTGTGCTGGAGACCGGCATTTGTACCCGCAGGGCCTTGCTACCCTGCTGCCAGCCTCAGAAGCAAGCTCCGTGCCGCTTGTCCTGTTCAGGCAAAACAGCGTCCCTGCTAGCAAGGTGGCTGTCGCTTTTAACCCTAGCTGATGAATGATTGCGGCGCTGTTCGGGCCAAACCTGAGCTACAGTGAAACTCTGTCTCAGAGACAAAAAACTGGGGACTGGAGGGTTGGCTCAGTCATGGTGCTTGATTCCTAGCACCCATGTCCACCCCCACCTGCAAGAGATCCCACACAGCTGGGCTCTGAGTGCCAGCACTCGGGACACATAATTTAAATGGCCAGGTATACTGCTTTGGCATTTTCCTGACAGAGGGCCATGCTAGCAACGTTAGAAAGAGGAGCTAAGGGGGCTTGGAGATATTTCTGGGCTTAGTAAAGGGCAGGGAAGAGTAGGACAGCTTTAATCCCCTCCATCCGCTCTCCGGATGAGTTGCAAAGTTGCAAACCCTGTCCTGTTCCAACAGCCTGAAGAGTCTCTCTTAAATGTATTTTCTTCTTTTGTTTTTAATGTTGGGGCGTATTTGTCTATAGTTACTAAGGTACACTATGGTCCCAAGGATTCTGGGTCAGTGTCAGCCTACAGACGGTGAGCCCTCCTCCTTCAGAAATCAATTGTGGGCACTGGGTTGACCTTGCTGATCTTGAAATGGGGACCTGGCCCTGTATTGTGGGGAGAAGGCAGTTAAAATCCACCTGGTTTCAAAGTCCTGCTATTAAGTAGCTGGACAGAGAACTGCTTTCTTGGGGGTTAGTAGAGGGTGGATCAACCCCGTCCCCCTTAGCTTTGAACCCCACCTGCTGTTTCCCAAGTAAAACTCCACGTGCAAAGTGGAAACATCAGAACTCTGTTGAGGCCTTTTTAAAGGAGACCTACTTCATCCTGGTTAACAAAGGAACCCAACTAAGTTCAACCTCCAGCCAGAGTGGAGAAGGGAATTCTGATCTGTCCCCAAAGTTCTTATACTGTCTTCTACTGATCTCTCCCTAAAGAGTTAAATAGTTGGGCCTGTCCGTCACCTGGCCAGGATATGACCCACCACAGGGGGCCTTCAAGAAGCTGAAAATTGGCTTACCTAAAGACCCAGCTCTAGCCCTCCTGGGCCGATGTCCAAAGGACCTACATCTTACCACTCATTCATAGTCATGGCCACTCTGCTCATTACAGCCAAGAACTGGAAACAGCCTGGATGTCCGTCAATGAACTGATGAGTAATAAAAATGTGGTCCATTTACACAAAGGAAATTACTCAAGTGTTAAGAAAAATGAAGTGTACCAGGAAGTATATGGAGCTGGGAACAACCACCATGAGGTCACCCAGACCCCAAACGACAGAGAATGAGGTTTCTCTTATGTGTGAGTGTTCACTTCCAGCTCTAAATATTTGTTTCGGGGAATGTTCACAGAGGATGGGTAGCTGGTAAAGGAGCAGGGAGAAGAACGGACCTTCCCGGAAAGCAGAAATAGAGCATTCTAAAGAGACAAAGGGCAAACTAAAATAGCATTGACAGGGACGGGTGGGCAGAAGAGTAAAGGAGGGACTATCAGAAAGCCGTATGGAAACCTAGTGCTATAAAACTTCCTAAAATATATACAGACAAGGAAGAGAACTTAAGTGGAATCACCATGTAACGGGGGAGATGCTGCCCAACGAGACATCTTATGCTACCACGTAGAGCCTCCAGTGCCAAGGTTGTACCTTGATGAATTGTTGGCCCAAGGGGTCCCATGGATTCCCAGACATCACAGGCTATTGTCAAGGCTATTGGTTTCTCTTCATAACCTGGCGGTAAGGCACAACTAACTTACGTCATCAAACATGGAGAAATCGAGCTAGTGCCCCGCTGACGCTCCATCCCTACAGATTAGCATGCGATGCATGGTGCTGGAAGGCATGCTGGGCTGGGAGGCACCACCAGAGGAGAAAGGTGATCACCAATAACTCCCAGGTATGAACCTGTGACTCCAACAACCACCTGACTGCAGGATGTACTGGTAGAACAGAGGACAAATGTTACTGTTGCCCAAAGTGGGGTCCCCCAAATGGCAGTGCTGGTGAGAATGTCTTAAACAGAAGGACTGTGACTTGACCAGGTGGACAGACGGATTGTTGTGGGGTGAAAAATAGTAAACTCAGCATCCACCAGGTCTCTGTTTACCAGGAAAGCCCAGGCTTCCCTAGCCCAGCCTCTGGCAAGGGCATCTAGTGCCTGACTAATCTCGCACTAATTCCCAGGCTTTTCTGGCCCACACCTTTCCTTCTCTGTCTCCATCAAATTAGCAAGGCTTTTCCTGCTGTCTCCTGTGCAGACAGCCCAGCAGTTTGATTCCCTCAGATAAACTTTTCTTTCCACAGCCACTTATTTTTTATTAAAGGCCCACTCTATGAGATGGAACCCATATATAACACTACTTAAGGAGTCCAAAATCTAGACTGTGGGCCTAAAGGAAAGCTTACTATTGTTCTGCCGCTGTCCTTTTATAATGCAGACCAGGAGCCCTTGTGATAAGAGCGCAAATCAATTCATTTGGCCACAATAGACGTGATGTGGTCTCGGGTTACACTGCTGCTATTTTCTTTCTCCTGCATTTATTCTTTCCATTTTTTCTTATTTATGTTTGCTTTTTCCTCACAGATCTCTCAAATCCAATTATCCCAAGCAATTAACACTCCATGACCTAATCTTCAAATCTCCTTAGCTCAACTTCTGTAGACCTCCATGTGGCAAACCTGTTTGAGAGGCAGGTTCACAGATGACCCAATCCCTGGTCATGGTTGAGTCTCCTCGTCCCTCAGAAAACCACACAAATCTGTCACAGGATGGTCATGTGTTAGGCGGAACACGGGCAGTCCAGTGTCTCAGGGAAAACGAATGTGGTAACTGCTCTGGTAGCCCAGGCCCCTCTCGGACAGGACAGACACCAGAGCCTACTCCTCCCTCTCCGTCCCATTATTCTCTGTACACAGAGGACAGCATCAGCCTGAAAGGCCCCCGCCACCTTCAAGCTCTTTCTGCAGGATCAACAGAGGGAAAGGGGCTTGAGCAGCCGTGAGAGATTGCAGTGTATTTTTGGAAACAAACTCAGAATTTTATATTTCACCAAAATAGCCTCACATCTCAAGTTCTGAAGGAAAGACATTAAGCCTAATTAAATGAGGCTTAAAAACCGACAACAGATATTTCTTTCATGACTCATAGAGAACAGTTTGTGCTATACATTGTCACGTTCATCCAGTCACACTGTGTAGCTGGCCTCAAACTCACTGTTCAGACCAGGATGGCCTTGAACTCACAGAGATCTGTCTGCCTCCTGTATATGCACATGAACCCCAGCACTGGGTGCTACTCTGTTTTTAAAGTTCATGTCCTAGAGCTGGAGACATGGTTAAAAACGCTTGCTGCCCACACAGATTGACGGCTATTTCCTCAAGTAGGCAAAGATGTGCTACATTTCTTTACATTACGCAATATTACCTAACCGTTTAAAGGTGGGTTATATTTGTCTGCGCTGCCTTTGTTTAACAATGTAAAGGTGTGTTTCATTATGTAAGGATGTTGCTACTTCACCTTGTCTGCCTAAGGCACCTGATGGATCTAATGAAAATCTGGACAGTAGTTTTTCTACAGCTAGGCAGTAGAGGGCTAGGCAGGGCTGGTAGCCAGAGAGAATAAGGAGGAGGAATCTAGGCTCAAGGAAGAAGGGGAGT